GTCATCTTCCCTGTCATCTCAACCGTCCTGTTGCTCCTGTAATCCTGGCTCAGAATGATTTATCTCCTGACAAGCAATCATTGGAAACACAAACGCATCATGCCCAAAGTATGCCAGTAAAGGGCAACCTTGCTTATTGATGGCCTTTTCATAGCTCATAATTAAACCCAGCGAACATTCTGACATTAAGTAAATACGATGACGTGCGCCAAATGCGTGTGAAGCTCGCAACAGCTTCCAAAGCAGTTTTATGAGGCTCGTCACATGAATTTTGTGTCCAAGGGTGTGTCCTTACCACAACACCTGCAGCATCAGTAAAATGTCCCAACACAAGCCCAGTGCTTTGTCAGGGAAAATATTCTCTCAGAGACAATGATGTGACATTGTCTGACATGATGGTTTGTATTAGCCTCTTTTAAATGGGACCTATCATGCTTTTCCATATTTTGTGTCTAATATGTCATATGTTGTTGATGTTCATATTAAATGTGGCCGAAGTTTCAGATAACCAGGTAAACATATGTAAAAGTTATCCCTCAAAGAAAAAATCTCAGGGTTCAGATCTCTCTGAACGCTCAGTATCCAACAGTTTTTCCTCTCTAGCTACAGTACAACGTCTAAGTGTGCTGGATTTCTATATATGGTCATCTGCTGACATGCACCCACAGTGACACGGGGAGAACATGCAAACTCCACACAGACAGGCTCCCTCACCCTGAGGTTCAAAACCAAGAACCCTCTTGCTGTGAGGCAATAATGCTAACCACTGCATCACCATACCGTCATTAATGTTTAAATTCATTGTCATTAAAAACTGATCAAATATATAAGAAATAGGTAGTTAAAAAAGAAACTTTAATTTAAAAATGATTTTAAATATAATGCCTTTAAAGATATTGTTCAGTTTAAGAACAATGTATTGTTCTTTATGCAAGTTTATTTTGATCTAGAGTAATACGTCACATGACTAGAGTTCAGGGGTCGCACCTGTTGCATTATGGGCTGAGGCAGTACAGCGGCAGAGAGCGCCAACATGGCTACAGAGCAGAGAACCAACATGGCTTAAAAGGAAGTACAGACGACCCTAAAATAATAATATTCTGCATGGTCCAAGAGGCCCACACGGTCGTTGTCATTTTGCACCTTTATTTGTTTTTTGTTTTTATCTTGTTTTAATATTTGTTTTAGTGGCCTGTATGGACAGTTGAATATGTTTTCTGTTGCTGTGCTTACTTTTTGGGACCAGTCTATTATCAGAAAATTCACGTGAGACTGTTGTTGGGCATGTCTAAATGCTGGACATTTGGTGGGAGACTCTAAAAGCAATTGAGATTGTTATTTCAAACCTTGTTTTAATGTTCTTTATTAGGGGACCTATTGTTATCCTGCATGTTCTTCTTCTTCTTTTTTCTTCTTCTGAGGAAATCCTACTTCCCATGCACGAAAAATCACCAAACTTTGCACAAAGGTCCAGTCCCATGCCAGATTGCCTCAGCTGCAAAAACAGGCCAATAGTCCCAGTGTTTCCTCTAGGATGTTTTTTCAGCAGCGGGGGTGGCAGGGGGAGGGGGCGAGAGACATCCCTTGGCCGAATACCAAGTACCTAATACCGAATGCCGTTTTTTAGTTTTTCATTAGTTTTTGCAGATGAACCCCCTCCAGATTAGTGTTGTCACGGTACCAAAATTGGGACCCACAGTACAATACCAGTGAAAGTATCATGGTTCTGAGTAGTATCACGATACCACAGCGAAAATGAGGCTGATGTGCCTTTTGTCATTTATAAAAAGATAAATCACTTTTCTATATCAATGATATTTCAGTGGAATAAATTACTTATTGACTTATTCATACTTCAAAAACAGCATCAATGAGTGATTAACACAGGGGGGATCAAAATAAAATAAATAAATAAAATAAAAATCAACCAGCCACCCTCCTCCCCTGACAAGTCCCTTCATAAGTAACGAACAGTCCCTAAAGTGCGGTGAGGTTTGTGGGCCGTTACCTGCCACAGAGAAATGTGAACGGCTCGTTTCTCCTCTGATACGCCACATACCTGTGTGCCGCCATGGCTCAGCTGTTCAGGTACTTTTGGGCAGTCATGACAACAAGTTATTCACCTGGAGCCAGACTTCTCCGTCGCCGGTAAGCCGTTACAATGCGCCGCCGTATTTGACAGGAATAAGTCCTGTCTGTGTCTGTGACCCCCGTTCAACCCACAACCGGCAGGATTCGCCGTTTTGTTTCTGCTGCTGGTTGAAATCTGTACTCACACAGCATGCTGAATGATTTATTTTGCCCGCACAAAACTATTTTTAGTCGCAAATGCGAGTGCGGTGACGGACGAGTAAAATATCGCCACACTGCCGTCATTTTACTCTGTCCGTCCCCGCACGCTGTTTGATTACGTTATCAAAACACGCCGCTATTATTCAGCCTTGCTTTTCACTTATTTCACCGAATACCGAATGTGTTTTTTTGCAATATTCGGCCGAATATATTCGGTGCATCCCTAAATAGGAGCCTTCGCCCACTCCCCCCTCCCCTCACCACTGCTCTCCTCACTACACTGGCTGCTGCACTGTGCAAGTGCACAGATGTCTCAGAGCGGTGGTGCATTTTCAAAATAAATGTTTTGAAGGAGCAGCAGCAGAAACACTGAGTCCTGATGGTGGCGCTATAGCAAGCCTCTAAAGTTCAAAATTTTGAAAATTCACAACAAATCAACCATATGTGCTACAGATTTGCAACTTTCACTAAAATGTAGCTCCAATACTGAAGTAACTTTTGTACATTTAAACCTATTGCAAATTATGAAGTCCATCACTGTTTTTTTCAAAATCTGTAAAATATCTCCTCCCACAATTTTTGCTCAGTTGACACCAGACTTGCTACAGAGCATCTTCAGACTGTCCTACACAAACGATCCACACAGATTTTTGATTTATCGAAAATTGAGCCTACAGTGCATCAAAATGTTTGACTATAAACGGTATTGTAAACATATACTTGCAAATTCTTGCTAAATACATTTTCAATGTTCATTAAAAAAAATGACAACATTTTGGAGTCATGGTAGATGATGTTTGGAAAATATCAATTTTATCTCAAAAACTGAATTTTTTACAGCATTTTGAATTTCGTTCTCATGCGAACAATTGGAGTCAGTGCAAAAATGGCATTTTTAAACATCAGTTTTTCACTTATGGAGCCAAAAAATCATCGTTAAAAACAAATTACCAACATCTCCATGCTGTCTAGATGCAATTTGTGTATTTACGGATTTTTGTCTTAATAACTGAATTTTTGACCGCCGTTTGAAATCTGCCTTTACACACTAACAGCTGCTGTCTTGCACACAGGTGACTGGCTTAGTCAGTTTGTGAAGCTACATGTGACATTTCTGTTTGCCAGTTAGCTCAGTGAGATAGAGCATGGTTCTTGGTGTTGAAGATTGTGAGTTCAAGCCTCAGCTCGTGCAACATTTCCATATGAGAAATCTACCCAAACTTTTCATAAAGGTCCAGTCACATGCCAGATGTCCTCAAATGGAAACACAAGAAAATAGTCCTGATGGTGGCGCTACAGCAAGCCTCTAAATTTCAAAACTTGAAAATTCATAACAAATCAACCATATGTGCTACAGCTTTGGGATTTTCACTTTTAAATTTGCTTTTCCATGGCATGGATGGCTACTGTCTGGCACCCTGATGCTTGGCTTAGTCAATTTGTGAAGCCACACATGAACTGTCACTTGCCAGTTAGCTCAGTGAGATAAAAGATGGACCTCAGTCTCAGAAGTTGTGAGTTCAAGCCTCAGCTAAGGCAGAAAGGACATTCTAATGTGAAAGTCCTATGTTCAGGCATCATGTTATGTGGATTAGAGACTACTAAGGTTAAAATAATTATGATCCAGGCAGTTTTGCGGAGAGACAAATACTCTTTATAAACACTTTTCCCTGTTATCCCTTGTCTCTTTTCCCTGTTTTTTTGGCTTAGCTATCAGTCAGTATGCAGAGTCTATCCAATAGCTACTTTTACATTTTAAAAAATGTTTTCATCTTTGTCACCATGGATAATGTTTAGCTTTAAGCTAGATCACGCCAGTTTGTTCATAATTGCTAGCAGTTAATGTTATTCTTACTTTCTTGTTCTTGAGTTTTTTCTTTCCTTTGTATATTATGAGTCTAATCACTTCAGCCACTCATCCACAATTTGAAGGGCATGCCATAATTATATGATGTAACTTCTATGCTGTGATATGCTTTGTGTGTGTTGCTCAGAATTGCCTAATTTTGCCTAAAATTGCCCGGCCCTGACCATTGCTGCGCAGCAGCTATAATTTTTGTAGTTTTCACGGTGTCTGCGGAGAATTGAAGGATGGAAATAAAACTTAACGGTTACACTTCTTGAATACACATTACTGAGACACTCTTTAATTTTTTTGATATTCTCATTTGCCCTCTCTGCTTTTTCCTTTTTTTGAGTTAGCAAGACAGACTACATCCTTTTTTGTGTGTAGGTATATTAAATCTGTTGCCCTAAATGACACCAGATGAGTCTGAATGCACCACATTGGCTGTTTCAGTGATGCTGAGAGCTGAAGACATTTTCCCCTTTCGTTTTTATGAAATTGAATTCTTAAAATTACAGCCATGGTAATAAAACCTTGCTCCTGGCATTCCTGAATAAAATGACCAATCCATTTCCAGCTTTTCTCCGCATTCAGCAAATGGGTCATATTAAAGCATCCTCTAATATATGCATTTATGCCACAGGAAGTGCTCTGGAGTCAGGGGCCGGACCCTTTTATCTCACTGTCACCATCTGTTAAGCAGTGTATAATCCAGAGTCGTGTGTGTTTAACCCACATATGAACATCGTGCCGTGCGCCGTATGGCTGTGGCAATGCAACAAACTTGTAAGGGAGATGGTGGCACATGATGCTTCGTCTTGCTGAATCACTGACCCTCCTCTTCTTGCATGTCATTTCCTAGGCGATCCACTCAGTTGCCTGGCATCACGAGGGTAAGCAGTTCATTTGCAGTCACTCAGATGGAACTCTGACCATATGGAACATCAGAGGCCAGGGCAAGCCCATACAGACAATCACCCCACACGGTAAGGACGTGGAAACACACGCAGAAACAAAAACTCACACACACACTCACAGGCTGTGTCCGAAATCAGTCCCTTACTGACTCATTGACTACTCCCTTAGATACTAGGCGGAGTTTTCAGACACAGCCAGATGCATGATGGTCTCACTCCAAGCATTACATTAGCTTCTTGAGTTGTAACGGCCTGTGTGGAGTCACAGGCTTGAAACTCTGTGTGGGTGTGAACCCTTACAGAGTTGCTGAGGTCACGTGGGAGTCGTTGGCCCCACCTGGCCCTCATATATGTCGTTAGTATAGATGGGACCAGGTGTGAATGGGGGTGAAGTCATCTGGGGAGGGATCCAAAGACTGCATTGTAGGTGGGTGATAAGTGGTGTCGAAGGCCACCTCCTCTGTTTAACGAAGGTCGTTCCAGTTTGACGTAGATGGCTTCTTGATGCTATTACGATGGTCAGGTGGGTCGACCACTCACATGTGACCTCAACTACTCTGTAAAGGTTCACGCCCACACAGAGTTTAAAGCCTGTGACTCAGCACCAGTCCGTTAGAACTGAAGAAGGTTCTTGGACGAGAGGCGAAACGTCTTCAAGAAACTCAAGGAAGTCTAGTTGTCTACGATATAGCACTTAGGATAACCATGACCTGGATGACTGAGAATCTTCATCAACATGATTCCAAGCATACTGCATTTTAACAATTTGATTATGAAGCCTCTTTATTCCTCCAGCTGAATTCACGTCAGGTCATCTACACTGTAACCTGAGTCAAATTTTAACTTAACACTTAACTATATAAGGTTAGGTAAGTGGGGAAAGTTTACCGACCTCACATCCTGAAGGGGACATCAAGGGGTGGTTGGGTTTGGCCAACTTTTGGTAGCTCCTCCGATATCTAAATATATAAGTAGGAGGCAGGACCACACTTGCTTCTCTTTTTCTTCAAACATTTCCATTCTGCATGAGTGTTTGATGGTGTTTGCCATGTGTCCTTGAGAATCTGTCAAGTTAAGGATAACATTTGATTAATTTGATCAAGTTTGACTGATTTAGTTTGTTAAAGGTTATATTTCAGTACATGTCTAGCTAATTATTATTTGACATTTATTGTACTTTAATGTGAAGCAATTCAAAGACTAGATTTATGAGTCAATGACTCACTTTGCAAATATTATATCTTATTTCTGTCTTCATTTAGAACCATGGCAAACATCACAACAAGCATCTAATCAGCAGTGGCCTTCATTTCAAAATAAATGATAGACAATAAATGATGGTTGAATGCAACAGTTGTCACCTGGTGGTTTGTGGCTCCTGTTAGAACCCTATATCCCCAACAGTAACCAGTTAACCCCATACTCTGTTTTCTAACGTTACGCATTTCAGTCCCTCAGCAATAGTAATGCATTCATCTCATGCTGAGTACCATTTCTGTGCCTTAAAAAGAAAGTCTGAATCATGATAACATAACAGCTGTGGGTCAGTATGGAGGGCAAACCTTTCTTTTCAAAAATAAAAAAAATCCATATAAACATACAGTTTGGATATATCCCAAGTGTGAATGGAGACAGTCGCACACATAGCCACGATGCAAAAAATAAAGTGTGTAAATAATTTACCAACATTTTGACATGAGTTTTCTTCAGGGACATTACACAGGGGATCCGACTCAGGTGTGTTCTGTAGTAGAGTTTCTCTATCTTCTTTCCACCAAGGACCCCTCACCAGATAGCAGACATTCCTCATGTTTGTCCCTTGGAATCATTTGACGTAGCCTATATTTATGGGGTTCTGTGGTCTTGGTTATGTAAAAGAACACAACAAGAGAAATGTATTAGCATGATTTTAGACAAATATTAAAATATTTGCCCCATCTCAACACAGAAAACCAATCAAGCAATGACATCGGTTTAATTAGCTTCAAGTAATGCTTACCTAAACAAAATATCAAAGGCAAATTAAGAGAAAAGAGCTGATTTAAAGTGTCCATAATCCGTAATCCATACATAGGCTCAATAAAATGCAGAAGCTGATTATGATAAATTATTTTAATTATGATATATTATAATATAAAAAATATATTTTTTGATGTTATGATAATTTTGATTAATGATTCTGAAAAGCTTTTGGGGATCCCCAGACTAGTCTTGGAGAACCACACTTACCATGCCCACAATCCCTGTGTTTTACATTTGCGTATCGTAAGAGAAGCAAGTAGCTGCCTGATTCGTTTGTCATTTAAACGTCATGTTAGAAAGTTATATATTGGAAGGTAAACAGTCTATCAAAGAACATCTCAATGTATTATTTTAAAAGGCACAATACATTTCATAGAAGGTTGAAGTTATACAGTGTTTAAAACAAAAAGTCCTATGCCTGGTATTTATCACTTGTTAAACTTACACTTTTGTAGTTTTTTACCTCACCAAGAGTATTAATTGTAATTAATTTACTTTAATGATAATAACGAACATAAATCTGACATGGCAATTTAATATAAAATGACATTTAAAACAGTTTAAACCATTGATTAACTGATTCATTAAACTCATAGAGTTGCAAACCTATAAATCGTAAAGATTTTAATAGTTGCAGCAGCATGAAGCATAAATAGAAAGAGTTTCAGACTTGTATCAGGAAGTCAGAGCTAGTTAAAGGCTAAAGCGAACAGATACATTTTTAGCTGTCTTATCTAGCGAGCTAGCTTCCCTGATATCTATACGTAGTGTGTTCCATATCTTAGGGGCGTATTGACAAAGGCTGCTTCCCCGATCTTCCAGCTGTTGTTGGGAACCACCAGTGAACCAGCAGCAGATGATCACAGTGTTCTTGGAGGCAAATAGTTAACAAAGGAGTTAGTGATGTAGCTTGGTCTTAGCCCACGTAGGGTTTTGTATACAAGGAGGAGGAGCTTAAAATCAATTGGAAATGTAACAGGAAGTCAGTGCAGAACAGCCAAGATGGGCCTGATGTGCTCTCTCCTCTTGGTCCTGGTATAAATGCTACTTGTACAATTCATTATTTTTAAACTATTTTTTATTTCCTTACTTTATTTAGATATTTTTTGCAGTCTCACTTTTGTTTTTAAATGTGTATTTTTCCATCTTTTCCATTGATGTACATTATCTCTCTGTATGAAATGGGTTATATAAATAAGTTTTTTTATGATTCTATTATTTCTGTCATATTCTGACATAAACAGGTTTTCTAACCAGATGGTCAGGACAGGAATCATTTTTCTTCATTTGATGATGATTGATAAGGGATTGCAAGAGGTCACCAGCAAAAACAGTTGAGAACTATTGGTCCAAGGAACCTTGTTGATTCTTTTAACCTTATACAAACACTTGTGCATGTCAGACTTAATGTAAAATGGGCATATGGATATAAATGAATCCATTTTCTTGGATTATTATGTCTAAAAAGCCACCAATTCTGTCTAGTCTTGGCTAATATAAGTTTTGCAAAACATGAAACCAGTGCCTTCAGCCACCTCCGTCAGTCACATGACCCACTCTGCATTAATTGAAACCATCCCTCAAGAGTCTCCCTCCTGTACACATGGCTCCCTCATCATTCCCCCATTTCAGCCAGAGGATTATTGTCACTTCAATTATGTCCTGCCTCTGTTTGCTTTACTTTGTGTCTGCACGTGCATGCATCAGCGCCAGCGCTCTGTTTATTTCCTGCAGAAAAAGCAAGTCTGCTCTTTTGAAGATGTATTTTAATCTATACTCCGCTGTCTCCCCCACACACCTACTCACCCCACAGAGCACTCTGACAGCTCGCCCAGATGAAGGGCCTGGAAGAACAAGACAGAGTGTGTGAGTGCAACAAATGGATGGACGGAGTGTGAGAGTCAGAGAGAGGAACAAAGAAAAGGAATTAAATGAAAGGGGGAAACTTCTAACCAGTTTCTGGAAGCTGTTTTTTTGTGTGTGTAGGGGATTGCAGAGAGGATTTCACCACACAGGCTTTTTAATTAGTTGTTTCTCCCACTGCTGCATACGTAATTAGTTTGGTATTTAATGGGCAATTATGCAAATTCCTTTGACAGGTTTAAGTAAGGCTTATAAGTCCTCCTTTAATTGTCTTTTTAGATATCTGTTATTTAGATGTAGTTATTAAAAGCAGTTCTTTATTACACAGACCTGCCTTGTATAACCTGCCTCAGGGCTCACTATATTCAGCCTCTTATTGTGCATTCTCATATGCTTAGGCCGGCACACGTGTGATGGATGTGCACATTTTCTCCACGCTGACCTCCCTCGAGGTTGGAATAGATGGATTCTGTAAATCATTAATGACGGCCACACCTTCTTTGCATGTCCCTGCCCCTGCATTTGTCTTTATCCTCTCTGATGAATAGCCTCTTGTTATTGTCTGGCTACTGTTCAGAGCTGCAATTTAAGTGCAGCTCCTGAGGAAGGGAGAAAAAAATGAGATGACAGGAGAGGAAGGGAGGTGAAGAGAGATGAAGTGGCAAAGTAAAGGAACTTGTGTTTGTTCTATTTTTAGGAAAACAGCCCAAGGACGGGAAGAAGCCAGAGCCTTGTAAACCCATTCTCAAAGTGGAGTACAAAACCACTAGAAATGGGTAAGGTCCCGCTCTTTCTCTCTGATACACACACACTTACATACAGTACACACATGCACATATGCTTTGGCATGAATATGCTTAATTATACAACACAGTTACAACATCAAGGTTAAGGTTAAAAGCTGAGTAATAAATGACCATGTGCTTCAGACCAGTGTTCAGAGCAGTGGACTACATTTTGCTTGCTGGTAGTTCAACTACATTGATATTTGCATAGTTATTCAAGTAGTTAATTACTTGTATGCCATTTTTGTGTAGTTAACTACTGAAACTACAAATAATTGTAAGGAGCCCGGGAAGGAACATGAAGCAAGTTCTTGCAAAACTCTTGAACTTTCCCATGAATAGTAGGGTATTCTTTCTTTTAGTTTATGTATGACCTGTGAACAAGTGTGCACTTTATGTAACAAACTCAACCGAGTGGCATTTTAGCTGGTATGTGACCTTTTGTACTATATTTTGGTAGCATTTTATATCACATTGACATTGTCATTGGAACGGCCATTGGGAGCAATTTGGGGCTCAGTGTCTTACCCAAGGATACTTCGACATGCGGACTGGAGGGGCCGCGGATCAAACTGCTGATCTTCCTATTAGAGGACTACCTGCTCTACCTTTTAGCCACAATGAGAACATACAGTCAGAGGGCAGAATCTCTGCAGATAAATACACCACCACACTTGTCTAGTGGGTCATAACAATGATTGAGAGGAATTACCTCAGTGTGAGTATATTGTTTTTAAGGAGAATCGTGTATAGTATACCAAACAAACGATATTTCTTGTTAGGGTAGCTTTGCTGTTGTACAGCTTCTTCCAGTGTGAAGTAATAGAGTACTGCAAGGATGAAGTTTTTTGTAGGCCTTGACAGAATTTCCTCAAATTTGGCACAAAGGTCCTCTTGGACTCAATGATGAACTGATTGCGTACCTTGCATCCATATCAGTCTCGTGAACACAGTATCTCAGGAACACCTTGAGTAACTTTCTTTGAATTTGGGGAGAACATTTACTTGGAATCAACAATGAGTTGACTACATTTTGGTGGTCAAAGGTCAAGGTCACTGTGAATTTGTCTGTCTCATTCTTGTGAACATGATATTTCAAGAACACCTTGAGAGGACATCTACAAATTTGACACAAACGTCTACTTGGACTGAAGAATAAACTGATTAGAATATGGTGGTTGAAGGTCAAAGGTCAAGGTCACGGTGACCTTGCATCCGTGTCATCCTTGTGAACATGATATCTCACAAACACCTTCAGGGAATGTATTTAAATTTGGCAAAAGCCTTCACTTGGACTCAACGATGAACTGATTAGATTTTGGTGGTCCAAGGTCAAGGTCACTGTGATTTTGTCACACCTTGAGGGGATTTCCACAAATATGACACAAACGTTCACTTGGACTGAAGAATAAACTGATTAGAATCTGGTGGTCAAAGGTCAAGTTCACTGTGGCGTCACAAAACAAGTTCTTGGCCATAGCCTAAGAACTGTTATGCTAATTATGACATATAAAATATGTTGAGATGCTGAATTGTGTGTGTGTGTGTGTCTGTGTGTGTGTGTGTGTGTGTGTGTGTGTGTGTGTGTGTCTGTGTGTGTGTGTGTGTGTGTCTGTGTTCCAGGGAGCCCTTCATAATTCTGTCTGGTGGTCTGTCCTACGACACGGTGGGCCGGCGGCCTTGCTTGACAGTAATGCATGGGAAGAGTACAGCTGTGCTGGAGATGGACTATCCTATAGTAGACTTCCTCACACTCTGTGAGACACCATACCCCAACGGTAAGTTTGTGCCTATTTTGCTGTGGATGTGTTCAGGTGGTGTGTGCATGTCTCAGCATAATATTTGTATGGGAATAGTCATCTTATCCTCCTTCCGTCAGTGCATTAGAATAACACACACGCACCTTTCTATTTTTTAATTATGTGGGATTGCTCGCCCCTGTGTTAGTGTGTTTCTGTAATAAATATGAAATTTCCCAAGGGGGAAGGATCCTATTCCAGTTTCATTATCTGACACACGGAACATTACATTTTCATTTCATCTCTTTGAACACAATAGCCTTCCATCTAAATTAAATTATTATCTTATTTCCTGTATCGAGGAGTCAACATCTAAAACACGTCAAAGTGGAGCTGACTGGGATCCAGCATTTATATAATCCAATGTAAACTGGGGTGCAGCATTATCTGGCATGTATATGGCTACACGAAGGATTAGTGACTTATGTAATATTGGTAACTCCTCACCGGCAGTCTGATGTCACCACGCACTGATTTCATCTGGTAATGGACATCCCTGGGATTTTAGATTACACAATACATGTCTGGCTGATGGTGTGTATTTGTGCATACTTAAACCAGTGTTAGTGTGTAGAGGAGGTGGATAATCCATGATGATCAGGCTGCAATGTGGTGATGCAATGTGCACACCAGTGTCTTTGAAAGTGTAGGCAGACAGAGCAAGTATTGTAACGTGTGCTAGTGTGGGCATAAAAGTAGCAGAGAGGTAAAATGTGCAGACGAAGACAAAGATTAAGAGGTGAAGTTAAGCTTGGAGATTCATTCTTTACCTTGGAAACAGCAGTTTGACAAAAACTTCTTATGACAAGGTTCATTTATTTAGTTTTTCTGATGCTGCGGTTTCCAGTGTTACTCTGTTTTGAGCATCTATTGTGAAAGGCAAATAGATTTGACAGAGATGAAGAAAATAAAGATGTGCTACTCAAAGTTAAATTCAGTTTAGGACTAGATGTTACAATCTCTGATGTGCATACTAAGACTATGAGAGGGAGTAATAGTGCTGTCTGGAGGTTTCTGAGTGGGCGCCAAAGGGTCAAGGTTAGATGGCTAGAAAAGTGGGAAAGAGCATAGGGAAGGCAAAGCCAAGGAGAGACATCTGTACAGACTGAACTCTCTCCCGTCAGACTGGGCCGCACACTCTACCTCCCCCTACTTCCTCATTTTGATGAGGGAAGAGATGGGAGAATAAACTAATAGGAGAACAATTTACCTTTAATCAAGGTGGAGTCAAACTGGTCAGTTGTTGCACATACTTTGTGGGTCATCAGGTAGGTACCCTCCTTCACTGGTGTTGGATGATAGGCCCACGACACCCCCAGAGGTTTCATCCGCAACACCTGTCGTCCCAGGTGCACCCCCCTCTACTTTTACTCCCTTGTACCCTGCTATTAGTGGCATTTCAGGGCCAAAGTGGCATCTTTCCCCTTAATTCATAGCCACCAGCTTGCCTGTTTAGCTATGCCAGAGAGGGCTTTGGTGGCCTGATGTTGGGCTTGGCCTCGAATTCCCATTTCTTTAAGCAGCCTTGTAGTTGACTTGCCTACGAAGCCTCTGCAGCCCACTTCAACTGGGCAAACTTTCACTTTCCAGCCATGTTGCTCAGCATTGGCTACCAGCTTGGCATCCTTAGGGCTCTTGCGCTCGTGGGCCTCCTCCACAGCATCCCCTGGGTCACAGTGAGCTCAATGATGTAGACTAGCCACAGTGAGGAGGACCAAAGCACGAGGTCTGGTCTGAGGTTAGTAGAGGTGATCTCGGATGGGATGCAAACACGCTTATTCAGATCTGCCAGTAACCTCCAGACTCCCCCTCCTAGTTGGCTGGTGTCCGATTTTACTGTATAGGCCTTGGATTGCTTTGTACCTTTGTGGACAAACCATCTCATAATTGTGGGATGGATTGACAGAGGAGATGGGGCACTGATGGATATGCGTCTGGTCTCCAGGGTAGCTGCTAGACACTTAAGCACCTGATTGTGCCACAAGGTATAACAACTTTGTGTCAGGCTTGTCTTGCAGCCAATGAGAATATGTTTCAGGTGTGCTGGAGGTGGGCAGAGGGGGCACGTAGGGTATTCGTTGTACCGTTGGCTGAGGGTCCTCAGAGATGGCAGGACATTGTAGGTGGCTCGTATTATGACGCTAGTTTGAGATGCTTCCACATCCCACAACTCCTTCCACAGACTGTATTTAACACACTTTTACGTGAATTTGCCATTCATGTCCTTTTTTTTACAATTTTGACAAAATTTCTCTTCATCAGATAAATTATTTTTTTGTTTTGCTGATTGCCTTGGCTGTAATCAGTTTGTCTCTTTAGGTAAATCAGCAGTGAAAGTGGCCATAATTACAGTTATTCCCAACTCCCAGACATACTGTAGAGATACTGCACAGTGATCTGAAGTTGTGTAACGGGTCACAGGAGGAGGTGAATCACTTGTAGACCAGCGCCAGGGAAGTAAAATGAGAAGGACAGTGAGAGATGTAGTAACAACAGTTGTCAAAGTGTTTCAACCTTGGCGTTCTCTGACAGCCTGAAACCTGCTGCTCTGAACAACAGATTGTTCTCTAAACTACAGTTTGCATGCGCACACACTGGTGGATAGAGTGCATATCTGAGGAAATGAGGAAGTGTAGCAACTCTGATGTCACTGACATGAGGGCTGGTGCTTTTTTTACTGTAATGACCAGTGTGACCAGTGTTAATTTAGGCAGCTGTTTACTTACAGCACAGCAACACTCACTGATAACTAAGCCTCCTCCCTGCCTGTCAACCAGCAGTCAAACCATAAACAATAGGTCACATATAGGTCAGGTGTACGCAGGGGTGTTTGTAGGATTTTAGGACATTCAGGGCTAAGCCCATAGGCCTACCTTTTGTGGGGTGAAGTAGTCCTTTAATAAGTGTGGATTGTCTTTATATTCTGTCTGTATTCACATTTTTCCTCTGTCAGACCTGACCTCTGTTTATTTAAGTTCTTGCTTGATGTGCTTGCTCTCCCTTGTCAGTATTCATGACTCTTATAACACTTTCAGACTGTGACTAGAATCAGAGATATGTGCAGATGACTTATTCAGCAGCAGGGTGAGCTACACTGGTTCCAGTGTTATGCCTCATAAGTTCTACATATGAGTGAATGAAACCAGGGCATTAATTTTATCAATTCATTCGAAGGTTTAAAATCTACTACAGGAGAAAATCATCTAAGGTTGAATGTAAAATTCTACTCCCAGATCAGACGGATACAAATATTTAACCAGAGCAATATCCCCCACAGACATAAATCACATAGATTAATGAATGTGAAGCGTTAAGCGTTCTTGCCCTCACGTCTTCAGGGCATGGATATGATAATAACATTTGCCATGTTAAGTCTGAGGAATTCTTCCCCTGTGGTTTGCAGATTTCAGGGGAGTTCTCTCTCCAAGAACTGCAACACTACTGAACGTACAGTGTGATGAATGACTTGTCTGGCTGTTTCTCCGCACAGATTTTCAGGAACCTTACGCTGTGGTGGTCCTTCTAGAAAAGGATTTAGTGGTGATCGACCTTGCACAAAACGGGTGAGTCCGGCTCTTTATTAAATAGCTCTTCATCATCTTTTGTTTCTTAAATGTGGGCTGAAATGTCACAGTTGGCCCATTAGTGCTCGTTATCTTCATTATATATTGTTTCTACTTTATATCATGATATAACTTCCATTCATAAATCTTATTCTATGGTATACATGCAGCACTGAATGAGATTAATGCGCTGATTCTTGGCAGACGGACTAATTTAATTAAGAGTGACTTTGTCTGTGCCCTCTTGGTAACAGTTACCCCATATTCGAGAACCCCTATCCTCTGACTATCCACGAGTCTCCTGTGACCTGCTGCGAGTATTTTGCCGACTGCCCTGTGGACCTCATACCTGCACTTTACTCTGTTGGCTCGCGGCAGAAACGACAGGGCTACAGCAAAAAGGTAATATATAGTAAAGCTTTATGTTTGTAAGCTGCATATTGTGGTCCGTGATGCGTCTTTCTTACTGTTGTGGAAATCTTAATGGAAAATCTTATCAGGCTTTGGACTGAGACTCTGAGAATTAAAAAGTAAGGGCTTCTCTCCAGGTTTACAGTTTTACAAAGGAGGAGGAAAAAGAGAGAGGGAGAAATCATTTGTGGAAGAGGATGAGATACTAGTTTCTTCCCAGCAGATTTGACGCAATGCAACCACATGACATGCTTTCTGAGTTAATAAATCCCTTTCATGCATTAATTATGACCACCTCAGACAATATTCTCTTTTCCTCTGTTGGTGTGTTAGAAAAGAATTGAAGCACTTTTTCTTTAACATGCGTTTTCACATGCCCACTCTGATGCACAGCATGTGTTTGAGTTTTCAACAGGAAAAATATGTATTTAATAAACCGATGAATAGGATGATACACCATGTGAAAACTATAAAACAATATCTGTTTGTAATACATCAAAATGTTAAGCTTAAGCCTTACCCCTCTTTTGATCTACTCCTCCCTCTTGCCTGTCCTATCACTTGCGTGTCTAGTGACTCCACAGCCCCCAGCCCCACCTCCACCTCCCCCTGTTGAACTGTGTAAAAAACATTCCCAAAATATTGTTTTTGTTACAAAAACTGCAAGTTACATTCTAATAACATTAACTGACTGATTTATATCCCCAAAAGTTACTGCAGATTACGTATTTTCAAGAACAACAAAGTCTTAGTAAAAGTAATAAATAGCTCTACACCGCAGTGACCACTGTGTGTGAAAAGGTTGGTCTATTTTAAGTTAAGGGTCGGAAAAATGCTTTGGGTCCGTATAGATAAAGATATAGATATACAAAACTGAAGGTAAAAGCCTACCCCAGATTCACTCTTGTTTGGGATATCCAGACCCTAACCATAACCACCTCTTTTAACATTATAGTGCAGCTAGCTAATCGCTAACTACGCATTGGCATAAGTAACGAGATATAATCTTCCTATTACCCTTACTCTAACTTTTTAATGTCATACTTCATAGCTAGCTAATCACAAACTTTCCATTTGCATAATTAACGAGATATAGCCTTCCTATTACCCTAACCTTTTAACATAATACTGCATGGCTAGCTAATTGCTAACTTCCCATTAGCATAACTAACGAGTTATAGCCTTCTCAATACCCTTACCGTAACCTTAATCACTTCTCTTTTAACATAATACTTAATAGCTAGCTAATCATTAACTTGTCATTAGCATAATTAACAAGATGTAGCTTTCCAAATACCCTTACCCACCGCTCTTTTAACATAATACTTCATAGCTAGCTAATTGCCAACTTAGCATCAGCATAAGTAATGAGATATTAACCGTCCTATTACCCTTACCCTAACCTTTCAACGTTTACTTCATGGCTAGCTAATTGCTAACTCACCATTAACATAATTAATGAGATATTAACCTTCCTGTTACCCTTACCAGAACCACCTCTCTTTTAACCTAATACTTAAAAGCTAACGTAAGCTAATTGCTAACTTGTCATCAACATAATTAACGAGATGTAGCCTTATATCCCCAATACCCTTGCCCTAATCTTAACCACCTCTCTTTTAACATGGGTCCATGTCATTGGTTCGACAGCCCATTGGTTCAACATCTCATTAGTCCGACTGTCCGCGGTGCTGAATGGCTCGCGGCGGGCGTATGGTGTGCTGTGACCAGCTTGAGGCGGAGCAGGCTCACGGCTTATGAGTTTGTCACTTTCTTTTTCATTATAACCCATACTATGATCTTTTCCTGACCCTAACCAAGTGGTTTTTGTGCCTAAACCTAACCAGACCTTAACCACAGGGCATCATGATGATTTCGGAACAGACTTCGGAACAATGAGTTTAATATGGTCGGAACAATGGGATGTCGGACCAATGGGCAGTTCCCTTTAACATTATACCACATAGCTAGTTAATCGCTAACTTAGCAGTTTTGTGGGGAGTTAAACTTCCAGGCCAAGGAGTAAAGGAGGCTGATCATTGACTAATGTGTAGGTAAAGTGGGCAAGTCATGTAGCTAGAGGGCGGGTCACGGAGCTGCTACAGCTGCAATCATACGTATTCGTCGTTTGGCACTCCGCCTTGCTATATTTGCTATATTTTTTGTGGAGCTTATCTCTTAGATGCCTGCTGCTTGGAGGCCTTGACTTCACCTTAGCGCTGTGATGGTACACATTGAGAGCAACTACTTCTGTACGAGCTTTTCAGTATAATCCTGCATAGTTTATCTTTAAAAGTTTCTTGTATCCAGGAAAGTTTCCTGCATAACTTGATACTAGTTATCGCAAAAATAGGAATTTCTTTGAGAGAAAAACACAATTTTTACCCCAAGTAAATATCAGCAACATTCGTTTATTACTAAAAAATTACACTGTTGACTAAAAGACTCAAGTTACATTGGCAAGTACATGCAAGTTATGGAAAATGTATCGGTAGATTAAAGTCACTAGTTTGAGGACATTACTATTAGCATCAACTGTGTTTAAAGCTAATTAGAAGTGTTAGCATGCTAAGGTGGTCAATCTTGTTAATGGTACCTGATAACCATTAGCACATTAGCATTGTCACTATGAGCATGTTAGCGTGGTAATGTTAGCGTTTAGCTCACAGCTGCTACTGTAGCTGTAGACCTTTAGTCTTGGTCCTATAATTAGAACCAACTTACATACATATGTTTGGCAAAATATTTTGTAAAATAAGCTTTAATTTTGCCACAGAAACTGCTACCTGCTCCTTGTCATCACTGTTTGCCTCAATTTAAACTCCTGAGGAGAAGGAGACATGCTTTACTCTTGAAATGAAATAAATCACCACTATTCCATCATGAAATAACTCTGTGAACACACCTCCCATCACAGATTAATGATGTATAACAGCGTAATAGTATCCCGAGGGAGGAATTTTCCTTTGTGTTGTTCTGGAGAGAGGTGTCATAAAAGAGCTAAATGCCTAAATTAGAAATGTAAATGCTTCTCGCTACACCCTCCAACCATGTTGCCGACAACAACAAAGTTACTGAATAAAGGACACATTACTGTACATACATGCATGTCTTCGCTACAAACTCCATGCAGCATGAGGTAATTTGGCACTGAAGTGTATTTCTCAATGTTTCCGTGAAGCTAAACGGCCTCTGTAATAGTGTCACGTTACCTAACGCTCATCCTCTCCCTTCGCACACCTCCTCTCTCCTCTCATTTTTGTCTCTTATCCCTGTATCATCCAAGACAGACCCCCTGCTCTTGCAGCCATTATGTATGCCCATGTTCTCTTGCCTGTCGCCTTGTTCTAGCTTTCTGTCAGAAATGTCAGCATGTACTGACCCAAACTGGCTGCCTAGCTGCCACACCCCCACCACCATCACCACCCCTTGTATTTTTTATTTATTTTGTGTTAGGCAAAAGCCTGGCTGAGCTGCGGGAGGGCATTCTCACATAAAGATCACCATGAGTCATCCTGATGACCTTTGTATGTATCAGCGTGTTCAAAGCCAAACCCCCCGCCAACAAGCACACACGCTCTCTCAGATGGAGACATAATTGCAGGACGCGCCGAAAGACGCGCACAAAGGATCCCTGCCTGTTTTCCCAGTGCACACTCATGTGCAATTTTATCATGTCATCTATTTCTAGAATCAATCAATGCTATTGACGCGCTGTTCATTGACTTCTACCTGTGGTCTCTCATCGGCTCTAATGTACTGTGTGTGTGTGTCTGCTGTCTATCCAGGAATGGCCTATTAGCGGTGGAAACTGGGGTCAAGGCACACAGAGCTACCCAGAGATCATCATCACTGGGTAAGACAATACTGATTTCATTAGCATTATCGTCTCGCTGCAACTCAATTACTTTCACCTCTCCTGCTCCGTCAGGTCTCCACAGCCGAGGAGCTCGTCTTGGAATATTTACTGTAGGTCTTTATATATTCCAATCATGTGCACCTCGCTCCATTTGAATGTTTATTATCCCGCTCTAAGCTGTCAACAAGGAGAGACGGGGTGTTTTTAACAGAACACACGCGCTGACATTGAGGTATGGAGGTTGGCACCAGGAGGCTTTTGCTCCTCTCTTCTTCCTCCGTCTCTCCTCACCCATACATGCTGGATTACTATTCTGCACAGGCTTCACTCTCTTTCTAAGAGTGCCACAGCCTGCATGATATTTCTCTCCCAATCCACTCAGCTCAACTGGCAACAAAACAGTGAGGAGTGATGGAAAAAAATGGCAACCGACCATGTTTTTTTAATTTTTTATTTTGTTTTTGGACAATGTTCTTTTCTCTGGCACCAAATGGAGAAGCCATCATGCTCAGCACCTGCTATTGAGTATAATCCTGTGTCCACTCTATTCATTTTTAGGCATTTAGCAATATGTGGATGTTTTTGGACGTTCTGTTACCAACACGATTTAAAATACACGGCCAAAAATATGTGGACATCTGAGCATTGAGGGCAGTGTACAATGGTAAGCATTGTCCTCTCACAGCAAGAGGTTTCCTGGTTCAAACCCAGGGTTGGGGAGCCCTTCTGTGCGGAGTTCTCCCCATGTCAGCGTGGGTTTACTCCAGGTACTCCAGCTTCCTCCCACAGTCCAAAGACATGCAGGTTAATTGGTGACTCTAAATTGTCCGTAGGTGGTGGTTGTCTGTCTCTATGTGTCAGCCCTGTGATAGTCTGGTGACCTGTCCAGGGACTACCCTGCCTCTCGCCCAGTGTCAGCTGGGATAGGCTCCAGCACACCTGCAACCCCTAACAGGATAAGCGGCTACAGACAATGAATGAATAAATCAGAGCATTACCTCCATATGTAATAGTTGGACATGTCATTCCAGAACCTCAGAGAACTAGCAGCGTCAAAGGCCACCTGCTTCGTGGTCTGACGTAACTACATCTAGGTTAAAAGTGTTGCACATGAACACACCACAAACACTACAGCTGACAGTCAAAAAGGGCAACTGGAAGATGGTCACAATCCAATGTTGAAAGATCAAATTCTATTTACTGTGCACCACTGAACGAGAACACAAACCATCACGAAATGTTTCTGCTGAAGAGCTCAAGAAGAGCGCTAAAGAAAAATAATGTTACCTTATGTAACAAGCTTGTTTTGGCCTCGACTTTACCTCTTTGTTTACTTTACTCATGTTGCTTATGTGCTGAGCTGAACTGTCAATCAAAGTGATTTCATTCAGTGACGGGCTCCGCTGTGCCGGCTAAATTGGCGTTGTTCAGCATGCCGACTCGGCCAAACAAAAAGCCGACAGGAGGGCAGCAGATGCTCATCAACGGTCCAACTTTGACAGCCAACCGTCGGCTTGGTGTGTCAGGGCCTTTATGCTGCTATTACAGCCTCCACTCCTCTGAAAAGGCTTTCCACAAGATTTTGGAACCTGGCTGCTGGGATTTTCTTCCACTCAGCAAGGTTCACCACCAATGTTGGGTGATAAAGCCTTGCTCACAGTCGGCATTGGGTTTGAGGTTTTGTGCATGCAAGTTTAAGGCCTCTAAACCAGACCAGACAAACCATTTTTCACAGACTTCACATTATGAACGGAGACATTGTCATGCTGAAACAGGACAGGATTTTCTCCAAACTTTTGCCACAAATTTGGAAGCACATTATTGTGTTAAATATCATTGTAGGCCATAGCATCAAGATTTTCAATGAGTTGAACTAAGGTGAATAGCCAAACCCCTGCCAGGGATGTCCACATGGATTACTGAGCATGTACAGACTAGGACGAAATTCAAAATGACCATAAACACTAGCAAAGGAAATGCAAAGTCAAAAAATAACCACAAACAACCACAAAGAGACACAAAATGACCAAAAATAACACCAAATGAACTTAAAGGGACACTTACTGACCTTTAAGAAACACAAACGACTACAAAGACACACGAAACGATGCAGAACAACTACAAAGAGACAAAACCACACATAGAAAGAGGAAAACCACCACAAAGTCTGTTTGTCTTGCTCCAGTAGACAGGAACCTTTTGAGTATCTGTGCCAAGGGACCCATGACTCATAATCTGCCAATGGGTGTCCATATACTTTGGGCCATGTAATATATGTTCTGGTTAACAACTTTTACTGAAGTCATGAAAATCATCAGTGAAACCTCTCATAGGGGGGATCTGTGGCATTAAATGATTAATTTGGGACCAAACAAAATATTGTACTTTGTCAATGTATTTTTTTTTTCTTTTTTTTTTTTTGTTTGTTTGTTTTTTTTAATTTACCTGGCATCAGATTTTGTGTCTTCAGTTGATATTGTACAGATGTTTTTGTGCTGCAAATCAAAGAAACTTTTTATTTTGATCAGAGTAGAATTCAGGACAGAAACTGAAATTCGTCTCTGTCTTGTCTCTTCACTTTTCTCTTTTCTCTGTCCTCCTCTGTTGAATTCCCAGGCATGCTGATGGAACTGTGAAGTTCTGGGATGCCTCTGCAAGTGAGTTCCCTCAGCGGCTCAGCTTTCTTTATGCTTCACAAGATTATAATTATTGTTTTGTGTTGTTAAGCTCAAGGAAAGGAAACTGTAAAAACTTTTCTAAAACTTATTTTTCAAATAAACTAAATTTGAGTACCGGCCTGTACACATTCAGTATGAACAAAATAAGTATTTTTTAGATTAAAGAATACTTCAACACCCAAAAATGAACATTTGTATATCAATTGCTCACCCTGTGTTGTGCTGGACTTGTGAAGAAACCTTTGTTTTCTCCTCAGTACTTTCCAAACAGACAACCCTTTCTGATGGGGAACTAAAAATAAAGCTGATGTATGCTCTCTTCAAAGCCAGACTCCATTGACAAAAACAGTAATTGTACCTCGCTGAACACAGGAGCTGCTGGTCTACTGCTGCCTCAGTCAGTTAGTTTGTGTTATTCTGTGACTTTGGTGTTTTAAAGAGTTACCTTTGATTCACCCAAGGTACATATTAACACAAACAAACAAACTGATTGAGAAAGCGGTAGACCAGCAGCTCCTGTGTTCAGTGAGGTAAAATTACCATTTTTGTCAATGGAGTCTGGCTTTGAAGAGAGCATAGATACGTTTCACTATTGGTTTAGTTCCCTGTCAGAAAGGGCTGTGTGTTTGGGAAGTACTGAGCATACGACTGGATAAGTAAGACTTGGATTGTACTGTACAAGTTGTGTGAGAATTTGTAAGTAGATTTTTTGATATAGTTTTTAAGTTGATAAACAAAGACCCCTTTTATTTCAGTTCATCCATCATTTTTCAGTAGGCATGCAAGAAAAACGTATATATTTTTTTTAACAAATTCAACATAACATGGGGTGAGTAATTTATACCAAAAGGTCATTTTAGGGGTCAAGTATTCCTTGGAGTCTTGAAGTAGTAATGAATTTTCTCAAGTTCAAAGCACTACATTTCCTCTGATTTCACATTATTCAGAGTCAGATTCAATATGTCTGACTTTCCTGGATTGCAACCGACACTTTGCTCTTTTCTCCTTTCTTTCCCCCAGTAATGCTCCAGGTGCTCTATAAGCTCAAAACAGCCAAGGTGTTTGACAGAAACCGGTCCAAAGAGGACAAGGGCAGCACTGAGGTGTCAGACGAAGACCCCTTTGCCATTCAGATCATGGCCTGGTGCCCCGAGAGCCGGATGCTGTGTGTGGCCGGGGTGTCAGCCAACGTTATCATCTACCGCTTCAGCAAGCTGGAAGTAACTACTGAGGTGGTGCAGGTGAGTAAGACTTTAGAATCCAGGTGAAATGTGTAGTTCTCAGTACAAATACAGAGGACACGTTCTCTTCTCCTATTGCAACCACAAATTCGGGACATGATGCAGTTCTCCATCAAGAATACATTGTGCTTTTATTTGTTATTCTTTCCCCTCGACAGTCACTTCCTCTGCTGTTCTAAGATGCTGAGACATATGCACACACTCACATGCTCTCAAAGATCTGCCTAGTCAAAGGCAGTATGGTTGCTATGCCAACAGACGGAGCAGTGAACAAGCAAAGCGAGACTGTCATTATAATCCGCCTTGATAGCGACGTAAGTGCTTCTGGGGGTGTGATGGGAGTCAGTGTTTAATGACACACTGTAAAGAGAAATGCTGTTTAATCTGTGTGAACATGGTCACAGCTCCTATATTACAAGAGAAAGGCTGCGCGCATACTGTACATGCTTAGTTTCTGTTTTTTTGTTTTTATCGCCGGAGCGGTGGAGTGTTAAATTGGTACCCCAGCAAGACACTTTGTTTATTTAGAGTTTTGGCAACATTCTCCTTGCTAAGCGGTCACTGCTGTGGTGGTGTTGTTGCTCTGGACTGGCTCTAGACAGAGATCACCTGTCAATCAAAGCGCGTAGGAGGTGCGGGGATGTGTTTTTCCTCGCAGGTCTGCGAATTTATTTTTATTTTGTAGCCGGGGCCCTTAATGTGTTCTGCACAGTTTGTCCAGACTATCCAGTTCCTTTGTTCTGCCAAACAAACCGGGCTCACAGCAAAAAAAAACTTTAATGAATTTGTCGAGTTGAAGCACCTTGCAGCAGCCACCTTCGTGCTGGAAGTGTTTCCTGTGTGTGACTGCCAGCGAGCGCTGATACGTGTGTCAGAGAAAATTTCGGGCCCCTTCTTTTTTCCTACACTGACTGGGATGTGGATCAGTAGATATGCAGTTGCAGCGAGCTGTAATTAGGAGAACAGCCTCCCTTCCCACAAGGTCAAACACCTCTGTAACCTCGCAGAAATGAAGGTAGAGGAGGATGGAGGCAGGCGGGAGTGAGAATCTGAAGAAGGCCACCCATCAGTCTTCACTCCCACATGTCAGAGGGGCTAATGAGACTGACAGAATGCAAAACAGAGGAGCTTATGAATGTTGTGCGTGTGTCTGAGTTTTGGTGGTGTGTGTGTGTGTGTGTGTGTGTGTGTGTGTGTGTGTGTGTGTGTGTGTGTGTGTGTGTGTGTGTGTGTGACTGTGCGAAGGCGGAGGTTGCGGAGAAGTAGCCTGAAGGAGGACTTAGAAGGAATGAAATATTCAGTATTGGAGGACCTCTTTGACTCTCAATCTGCCTACACACACATGCACACACACACACATCAAACACATCTCTATTATCAAAGTGACTTTGTGAGTGTGTGGATGCAGCTCATGGACTCGATGACTTCTCCGTCCTCAGAGGAATTCACGGAAAATTGTTCTCCACTTTTGTAAATCTGATAATATATTGCACTTGCACCTGTGTGTGTGTCGTCTTCTGCAGCTACTAGAGGTGCGAATGCAGTACGAGCTGAACGACATAGAGTCTCCAGACGGCGGGGGCGGAGGGGGAGAACAGACATCGGCACTTCCCACCCCCGGTGCCTCCCCTCAGACGAGCGGTCCACCTTCACACCCCTCCACCAGCAGCAACAACTCTGACGGCGGCAACATGCCCTGCCTCAAGTATGACACACACACACACACACACACATACCGATTACATAAACTCTCATAAGCACCACACGTTCTCACACACACTCATGCACACAAGAGTCTTGCCTTTTGCCTCAAGCACTCTTGCACAGACTTAGTCAGCGCCTGAAGCGTTCTCAGCCACGGCCTCCCCATCATCCCCTCGCAGCCACTCATGCCAGACCCTCAACACACAGCGGCTTCAGAGCTGCAGCTGCACCACTCGTCGTTCTCTTCATGAAACCCTTTTTTTTTTAAATGTCTCTTTCCCTTTCACTTTCTTGCTCCTCGCCGTCCCTCCTCCTCCTCCCCATTCCACTCTTTCTTCTTCTCTCCAGAGTGCGAAGTACTCCTCTGAAGCAGTCCGCAGGTTACCAGGTAGATTTGGTGGTCCAGTTAGTGTGGGTGAGTGGAGAGCCCCCGCAGCAGATCACAAGTCTGGCGCTCAATTCCTCCTACGGCCTGTAAGTATACAAACAGGAGCGTTGTTGTTGAGACTGATAAGTGCACACCGTCCTTATCAAGCTGTATCATCTTAAGGTGAAATCTAAAATGACTTAAATCTATAGCAACCATCTCACCCAGACAAAATATGCAAAGTGGACACCCATACAGTTTTGCAATTCAAGCAGCAACCGCTCACGGCTACAGTGACAACCGGTCCTGTCAACACGATTTATGATTGCAAGGAAAATTTGGAGATTCCAGCTGTTTTTGTGCTCTGACTACAGTGTTTTTAGTCCTAAAAGCTAAATCAAATCTCATATGCTTCTCTCCTCTTTTCTCATCTTTCTTTCTCTGACTCCCCCCGCCCTCCTGTTTCTTCCACTTCCTCCCTGAATCTGTCACCCCCTCCCCAGTGTGGTGTTTGGCAACAGTAACGGTCTGGCGGTGGTGGACTACATCCAGAAGACGGTAGTGCTAAACCTGGGGACGGTCGAGCTTTATGGCTCCAATGACCCCTACCAGAGACAGCCTCGCTCGCCAAGAAAGACACGACAGCCTTCTGGAGGTAATGAGGAAAAAGGGATAAGAAGGACAAGAGAAAGAAGTCAAAACTTTTCCAACCACACACAAGAGCAGAAGTTTGTTTTGCTTCTTTGCCATTACTGTGCAGCCATAAGACCTAACAGTCCCATGTCTACAGTTGACTAACCATACATCCAAGCTCCCCCCCCCCCCAAAATCAGGTCAGTTTTTCTTTATATAGCACAATAGCTTAACAAAACTTATCTTAAGTTTTCATATAGACCAGTGGTTCCCAACTCGTGGGTCGCAGTCGAAGTTATCTTCTTGTGTTTCATGGGCCAGACGTGGCCGCCCAAGAGGTCGGGGGGTCTGGCATCATGTGGTTCCCAGAGCACCTCCTCTTTTTGCATTCTTGATATAGGATGGAAGTAAAGTAACGTTGGTTGAGCACGTCAATCGAATTGTCCAACCAAGAATGAGGCTGAATATATTGAGCTACGTGGACCTTGAACTAATGACTAAGGAGAAATCTGGACCCCGAGGTTGGACCAGTTGAGAACCACTGGCCTAGACTTTACTCTTTGAATCTGGTGAGACCCAACAATTCAAACCAAGTCCAGCCAAGAGCAAGCACTCATTATTTTGTTCCGCTGTGTGACAGTGGCAAGGAAAAACTTGTTTTCATAGGCAGAAACATCGAACACAACCACGACTCTGCCGGTTGATCAATCAGAGGTTAGACAGCTGAACAGCAACCTTGCAAATCAATCCCGGCTAAGCAGGAGATCACTCAGATCCGGTTCTTTCTCCACATGTATGTACACACACTCAATGCTTAATCGTTCTTTCAGCCCCACAAGCTAAGATTGTTTAGCTGTTAAACAGAAGTCCTGAGCATGATTTTTTTTTTACCCCTTATAGTGTTTTTGAATTTCTGCCATTAAGCTAAAACTGTGCCTCAGCATCTGAATATGCTGAGCTGAACTGTGATCTGCAGATTCTGTTCCTGTCTTAAAGGCAAATGAAACAATCAAGGACAATTGCACAGAAGTTCACAGAACATAAAAAACACCTCTCGTCAAGGCATATTAACGGAATTCTTCACTCACAAAATAACCATTTGTATATCAGTTACTCACAGTGTGTAACCTTGAATTCATGAAGAAGTTTTTGTTTTTCTTACATGCCTCCGCAGTTAACTAAGAATCCAAAAGGGGAGATATTCTTCATGAACTGAAGTGATAGGGCTCCACATTTAACAACAGCAAAACTTCACAAACTCTCACACAACGCTTGCAGTGTAATCCAGTCATATGCTCAGTGCTTCCCAAACACGTATGTTCTCCATCGATCCTGTTTGTGATATCCATGGTCAGGATCTCGAGCCACAGCTAGGGGGACAAAGGGGTCTGGTTTGGGGACCTCAGAATTGCATCTCTGCTTTCTGCAGATGATGTGGTTCTGTTGGTTACATCACACCGTGGCCTGGGGTGGTTTGCAGCCGAATGTGAAGCGGTAGGGTTGAGAGTTAGCACCTCCTAATCTGAGGCCATGGTTCTTTGCCATAAACTGGTGGAATGCCCAGTCCAAGGTGGGGGGAGAGTTACTGCCGCAAGTGAGGGAGTTCAAGGTTCTTGGGGTCTTGTTCACGAGTGAGGGTAGAATGGAGCGTGAGATGGATGGAGGTTTGGTACTGTGTCTGCAGTGATGCAACAGACCATCATGGTGAAGAGAGAGCTGAGCCAGAAGGCAAAGCTTTCAGCGTATTGGTCCATCTACATCCCAACCCTCACCTATGATCATGAGCTCTGGGTAGTGACCGAAAGAATGTGATTGCAGAAACAAGTGGCTGAAATGAGTTTCCTCCGTGGGGTGGCTGGGCTCAGCCTAAGGAGCTCAGAGTAGAGTTGCTGCTCCTTCGCGTTGAGAGGGGTTGGTTGAGGTAGTTTGGGCATCTGATAAGGATGCCTCCTGGGTGCCTCCTGTTAGAGGTGTTCGGGGCATGTCCCACTGGTAGGAGGCCCCGGGGCAGACCCAGAACACACTGGAGGGATGACATCTCTCATCTGGCCTGGGAACACCTTGGGGTCCTCCAGTAGGAGCTGGAAAGTGTGCTGGGGAGAGGGACATCTTGGATGCTTTGCTTGGCCTGCTGCTCCCGCGACCCGGCCTCAGATAAGCAGATGGAAATGGATGGATGGATGTTACAGCACTCTCACCGTCAGCGCACGCTACTCATTTGCAAAAGTGCTATATATTAAAGGTATTCAAGGTAACAGGCCGTCACTAATTGATATACAAACGATCATTTTGCAGGTGAAGTTTTAATGTAGGTGGACAAACACATGACAGGTTTAGAGATGTTGAGCAAAATAACTCCTAGAATGCACTAAAAGGCGAAACCATATTCTGTATTCAAGGTTTATTATCAGTAAAGGTCTAAGAGTAAATATAGAATTTTAATAGCATTTCAGTGAACATTACGATGAGTCTCCAGTAACCCCGCAGGTCCAAAATGTCCCTGAATTGAGCTGTAAACTGATCCGAATGTGAGAACGATTGAAGTCATAGAACAACACACGTTGCATCTAAAACGATGTCGTCCAGGGGTTTGTTCACAAAGCTGATACACAACGGAGCACTTTGACGACACAAATACCAACTCTTTGTCTGTCTGTCTTCCTCTTTTTCTCTTACTCACTCACACACACACTCACAGCCCATCCCTTGTACACACATTGCCACTGCAGACTCACAGTACTGCTAATAGATAACAAGATGCCTTCTGTATGGACACACTGCCACCCTGTGTTAGACGACGGCAGTGCAGCCACGTCAAGGATGCCGCAGTGTCATGACGCTGCACTGCCCATACTTAAGCAAAAGTTTGATGGATGAATTATTAAGCTGTGGATGCCGAGGGATATATTTTCGGTGTTTGTGATTGTGTATGCACAGATAAGCTACGCATGCAGACACAGGAACGCTCACATACACACCAGCACGTGCACATGTAAATACACAGAGCATCTGGTGTCAGTGACTGGTGAGCAGTGGGCTGGCACCTGTCAGAGCTTGGCGAGTGCGAGCAGTAATCAGGCGTCCAGCTGTGTTTCTCTGCCAACAGGGACTGCTGTCTGCTTGGCTTTCTGCCTCACAGGACAATGTCACACACACACAAACACACACACATTTATAGACAAACATGCACGTGGCAAATGGAGGAATTAGAATGGATGAAGAAACATTAAGAGTTGCAGAAAGTCTTGGTCAATCTGTTGACGTGTCAGGAAACGAGACGCAAACAGCAATCCCAGTTGATACTTGAGGTTTTCTCTGCAGTATATTATAAAGTATATAAGGGCGGTGTCATACTCTCACAGACTGAACCCCCCATTGGTTTTTTTCGGCTTTCTTTACTTTGCATTAATTGAATTTTGTGATCTCCGCTGCAGGTCTGTGCGACATCAACGAGGGCTCCGCCACATCAGAGGACCGCTGCAAGTCCCCTACTTCAGGTAAAATGTCCTTCAGCGTCTTATTAAAAGTGAAGTGGGAGAAATATAGCAGGGGCTTTGTGTTATCTAGACGTAAAAGCCAAACAGTGAGGCAGTGAAAAAAAATAGACCCTATAATACCATGTATTTGAATGCAAGAGGAGTATCGGTTTAGGGAGGAAGATTAATGTTTCAAAAGAGCCTCTACTTTTAATACTGTTTTATTGAAATTGTTGCTCATCTAACTGGAACTATACTGAAGGTTTTTTTCCGCTGAACCGTAAAATTGTCTGGCTGTCAATTTTCATTCTACCTCAGTCTTGAGAAATACACTGTTTGAGTCTATTACCATGTGAGTTTTTGAGAGTATTTCCTCATTTGTGCATGCATACTTTTTTTTTTTTAACACTTTGCAGAGCTCAATAGGCGGGAATACAATTTTGTTTTAATCTCATGTGGTATCGTGGAAAACTGGGTTTTAGGCTGTGAACGTATCCCGTGTCTGTGATGCTAATTCGGTGTGACAGCTCAGAGTTATGAATGAAATGAAACAAAACTCTGCATTCTGGCAGAGAAACCCATTCATTTACATTAATCAGAGAATAAGTTAAAAAGTAAAAGTTCAACCTCAAGCGCCCTGGGTATTTTCACATATTCAGTAACTGCGTAATTGTATAATTGTGAAACATATTCTGCAGTTGAATGTATTATACACTCACCGGTCACTTTATTAGGAACACCTCAACCTCCTTTTGCCTTCAGAACTGCCTTAATTCTTGGCGGCACTGATTCAGTAAGGTGCTGGAAACATTCCTCAGATATTTTGGTCCATATTGACATGATAGCATCCACGATCTCCTGTTCCACCACATCCCAAAGGTGCTCTATTGGACTGAGATCTGGTGACTGTGGAGGCCACTGGAGTACAGTGAACTCATTGTCATGTTCAAGAAACCAGTTTGAGCTTTGTGACATGGTGCGTTATCCTGCTGGAAGTAGCCATCAGAAGATGGGTACACTGTGGTCATAAAGGGATGGACACGGTCAGCAACAATACTCAGGTAGGCTGTGGTGTTTAAACCATGCTCAGTTGGTACTAAGGGGCCCAAAGTGTGCCAAGAAAATATCCCCCACACCATTACACCACCACCAGCAGCCTGAACCGTTGATACAAGGCAGGATGGATCCATGACGCCAAATTCTGACCCTACCATCTGAATGTGGAAGCAGAAATCCAGACTCATCAGACCAGGCAACGTTTTTCCAATCTTCTATTGTCCAGTTTTGGTGAGCCTGTGTGAACTGTAGCCTCAGTTTCCTGTTGTTAGCTGACAGGAGTGGCACCTGGTGTGGTCTTCTGCTGCTGTAGCCCATCTGCTTCAAGGTTGGACGTGTTGTTGGTTCAGAGATGGTCTTCTGCAGACCTTGGTTGTAACCAGTGGTCATTTGAGTTACTGTTGCCTTTCTATCATCTTGAACCGGTCTGGCCATTCTCCTCTGACCTCTGGCATCAACAAGGCATTTTCACCCAGAGAACTGCAGCTCACTGGATATTTTCTCCTTGTCAGACCATCCTCTGTAAACCCTAGAGATGGTTGTGCGGTTGTGATTGGCTGATTAGCTATTGGTGTTAACAAGCAGTTGAATAGGTGTACCTAATAAAGTGGCCAGTGAGTGTATCAGTCACCAGATTGACTTTCGGCTTGGATTTTGAGCAGGGATCCTTCTTCAGTTAGATATTCAAATGTGTCTGAAGCAGTTAATATGATTAAACGCAAACCAACAACACCCACTGTCACTCTGTATAATATGCAACGCTGCCACGTTGCTATATTTATCCCATTGCTGACTGTGTAAAGGAACTACACAGCGACAATCAGATGTTCTGTTGCTGTTTAGCTGGTCTCTTTCTTAATCTACGTCATTAGTATTTCAGCTGAAGGTGCTTGAAGAAAGAACAGCCCAGATCCATCTCATTAGGGGTAGTGTGGCACTGAAAATAAGGAGCTTTTTAAAAAGGTCAGACAGAAAACAAATCTCAAAGTCTGGAGTCCCGCTTCAGGTATGATGACTGTCTCAAACCCCCCTCATGTCTGGTGCCACCAGACTGTGGTCTGATACATCTGTCTGCGCTGCATTATTCATAGGACAGGGAGAGAGAGATAAGGCGCCTTCCTCTAAAAGAAAAATCTGCCGTAACAGTCATTTAGTCCGGGGCTACACTTCTTTTTATCTTTTCGGTCGGTGATAAAGTCTGCGGGTGAAAGAAAAATAATTTAGATTAATTTTCATGCAGTTTCACCTGTCTTACCTTGAAATAAGTTTCTGTTTGATGAATTAGGACTCCATTAGTGCCAGAGGAGATTCATTTCATTCAAGAAAATCCTTGGAATAGTTGGATTTGCATTAAAAACAACAGTCAATGTTAAACCAATTACAGTAATAGGATGGACGGACTTATTTATTATGCATTTAACATAGTGAGGATACACACATACAGCATGACAAAAACATAAGTAGTCCTCTACAGAATCTCTTTTTCCCACTAAATCCTCATGTTTTAATTTTTCTGTTTGACATATAATGTACTTTAAATCATATAAGAGTATGATACATATGGTTCCCAAATAAAACAGGAAGAAGTTCATTTAATTGGTTTTTATTTTGGGTAGAAATGCAATCAAAAGTTAAATGTCATGTAGACCTTTGATATCTGTGGGGGGAAAAAATATCAGAGCGTCCCCCTGACTAGATTTACAGGGCAGGCAGTTGTAATATTACACAGCGTTCTCTCATCTGTGAATCTGTATTCAGGGTGCAGGGTTTTTACATCAGACAACAGGATATTTAAGTCAAACCAGTGACTTTTGAACCAGCTTTATTGATCTTTAAGGTTCAGTGTGTAGGATATAGAGGGATATATTGGCAGAAATCAAATATAATATGATAAGTATGTTTTCTTTGGTTTAAAATCACCTAAAAATAAGGATTGTTGTGTTTGTTATCTTAGAATAAGCCGTTTATACCTACATAGGGAATCGGTCCCTTTACATGGAGTCTGCCATGTTGCACCGCCAGTAGCCCAGAACGGACAAACCACACAATGGTTCTAGATTGGGTCCTGCATATTTTCATGTTATTCATCATAGTTAGCAGACCATCTGCCATGAGAGCATCAGAAAAAGATGGATTCTTTTAACGTGAAACTAATTTATTGAGTATTTTTACCAGTTTAAATAACAGGGTCAATTTGTTTTGGAAAGCATGAGACCCCTGCAGATAATTCAGCTCCCACTAAAAACTTCCTGAACATCTAGTTCATACGTTATCAAAGAAAAAAGGTTAGAACACATTAGCAGGTACTGGGCTAGCGGCTCGTCTATGACAAATCAAGCAGTGTCGGAAAAACACTGATTTGTAGTGTGAAACTGCTTTATTCAGTATTTTTACCGGTTTAAATAACGGGGTCCGTTTGTTTTGGAAAGCAAGAGATCTCTGTGGATGATTCAGCTCCCTGTAAAAACCTCTTGAACGTCTGGTTTATAGGTTATCAGAGAAAAAAGTTGAGCACACATTAGCAGGTGCTGGGCTAGCAAACCGTGTGTGTCGGAGAAACACAGATTTTATTCACTATTTTTACTGTTTTAAATGTTTTGTTATGGAGAGGACAGGACTTCTGCAGATAATTCAGTACCTGATAAAAAACCCCTTTACAGTGAACACCGAAGAAATCCAAACCAGGAGTTACCACTTTGCACATGGGAGAGGTTTCAGCCAGTTGCAGTGTACAATCCTCACCACTAGATAGCACCAAATTCAACACACTGCTCCTTTAAAAGGCCAGTTTGCTGCTAAGGACCCCAAACATAGTTATTCACCAGGGTAATTAGAGATAGCGTGTGTTTAGTAACAAACCAAAGGGTGTGTCTAACTTCACATTTACTCTACTTTCCCCCTTACACCCTCAAAAGTGTTGACGTCAAACAGCAATCTACAGCAATTCTACAATGGAGGTGGTAGAGGAGGTAAGATTGGCCAAAGATCTTCATGAGAGGCTGTTTAGGCAGGACAAAGTCTAGATTTGTCCCCCCCTTGTCTCTGTCTTTCGTGTCATGGTCACCACAGTGAAAAGAAATAGATAACAGAAGAGAGAGCTTCAGTCCTGGGTTAGCTTCTGTTCCACTGTCTTTTGGTTCTCACTGTATTTGATTATTAACAACAGTTTGTTTTCTTGGTTAACATGAGAAGGAGCTCATATGTTACGTCTGTATTCAAGTATATGGCTAGAAAACTATACACCGAGAACTGAAGGCTCACAGAGCGGAGGCTAACCTCGAAGCAGGGCAGGAATTCAGATGTCTGTACACACACAATACAGCTTCATTGCCTTAAACACACACTGCATGCTACATGTACGTAGCACGAGTGTCATATTGTAAATGTGCCTGCGTGTGATTATCTGTCCTGCCCTCCAACAGCAGATCCCTGGTGTTTATTATGAGTTACATGATTGGCTCTGTCCATAGTATGACGACACCACAGCGGAGAGCAACTCATCTGTCCAACTGTGTCTTTGTGTACCTTCAGTGTGTGTTGATGAAACAGATAAGTGCATATCGACTGCTCAAAGTAATGCTTTGGTGTTCTGGATCCTCTTTCAGATTCAGGTGACGATGTGTAGGTATCTAAAATGACTGCGACATCACAGACTGGAGCTTTGACCTTGCCCAGACCAACGTCATGGATTATTTTTTAACTAGCCCGACCTCATTTAATTAGCCTGAACCCTGTTAAAAGTTTCACGTGTTTAAAAAGTCTCAGAATATACAGCACATTTTCCCAGTCTTCCTATTAGCTTTGTTGCACCTGCGAGGGCAGAGAGTCCACTTTATTATTCCTCTTGATTCAAGGAATTTGGTGACCTCACGTAACTCCCCTTAAAGCTCCACCCAACGTCTACCTGAGTAAAGGTCTAATTACCTAGAATAAGTGAAGACAGATGTTGATATGCGAGTAAATGTGCAGGGTTTTTTTTCATGAAAACAAAAAAATGTAATGAGTCTAATCTTGAGGGTGTTAAAGATGTTACAGGTTTTTCAGGGTTTTTGTATATTTTTTTGATTTGTTAAGGTGGGTTTCCTTCAGTCTTCCAATCAAAGCTAGCCATTATCTCATAACTAAAGAAACATCTAAGTGAACGCATGGTGAATGCCCCCTTTCGTCATTTAGTGTCCTCTACTTCTTTTCCTACAGACAGAGAAATAGCATCTTAAACCTTCATTCATTGCTGCTTTTCTTTTTCCATAGGAACACTTCACCCCTCAAACGACCATTTGTATATTAACTACTCACCTTGTGATATGTTGAATTCCTGAAGAAAACCTTTTCTTGTCTGTCTCAGATGAACAAAGAATCCAAAAATGGAGGAAATTGTTGATGGATTGAAGTCATAGGGATCGGCGTTTAACAAAAACTATCAAAAAAAACTGTTTATAAACTCTCACAAAACTCATGCAGTATAATCTGAGTCTCAGCACTTCCCAAACAGACAGCCCTCTCTGACAAGGAACTGAATGGAAAGTGAAACTTGTCTATGCTCTCTTCAAAGCCAGACTCCATTGACAAAATGACGAATTTTACTTCACTGAACACAGGAGCTGCTGGTCTACCGCTGCCTCAATCACATATTCAGTAACTGCATAATTCCTCAATCAGTTTACTTGTGTTATTGGTGCTTTAACGGGCTAGTTTGATTCGTAAAAGTCACACAATAACACAAACAAACTTCCAGTTTAGGCAGCAGTAGACCAGCAGCTCCTGTGTTCAGTGAGGTAAAATTACTGTTTTTGTCAGTGGAGCCTGGCTTTGAAGAGCACATTGATGGAAAGCAACAACTGTGGTAATACACATGGAAGATAAAGACCCCTACTGAATGTCAATCGTATCAGCCCATTCCCTTGCAGAGCAGAGACCTACGCATATTAAATATTTTGGCTAACAGAGTAATTAACATCATCGCTCAGATTATATATCCAGACCAAATAGGCTTTATTTCTGGGAGATATTATGGGAACAATCTTAGCAGAGTGTTAAATATAATGAATCAATCAATATCCAAGAGAGAGACAGCATTGTTTTTATGTCTAGACGTATAGAAAGTCTTTGATCGAGTGTCCTGAAAAATGCATCTAGAAGTTTCACTTTTAGTTCAGTTTCCCACCGAAAGGGGCTGTCTGTTTGGCAAGTATTGAGCATACGACTGAAGAAATAAATAAATAATACTTGGATTAAACTACATGAGTTGTCTTGGTTGGTTTTTGGATTCTTCGTTCATGGTGAAAGCATGTGAGAAAAACAAAGTTTATTTCATGAATTTAATGTAACACAAGGTGAGTAACTGATGTGTAAGTGGACATTTCAGGGGTGAAGTGTTCTTTTAAGTTCAGGCTTTTAGTAAGATGGAATGATTTGTGAACCAGTGCAAAAAACCCAGTGCATTTTGTAATACCTGGACACGCAGAGTCATCAAGTGTTGTGTACTAACTTAGACAGTTTTGGTTGAGTGTGCCTAATATGGTTATAAATAAAAGAAAAACACATTCATAAGAAGGTTATCGTTGTTCAGCTAGCCTATAGTGACTAGCAGTACACTACCTCAGTAACCATTTTCTCCACTGTCTTCTTCCATCTCCTGTTCAGTATTTTCTGTTTCCTGTTGCCTTCCTGTTCTTGGTGCATGCTCCTGTGGCATGAGGGTCCTGAATGGCTGTGCAGTTTTTTGATGTGTCTCACTGTACCGGTCCTCTCTTGCAGGGCATTGTGCAACCAGAGGTCACCTCCTTTGTTTTGTCTTATACAGCATGCCCCTGTGACATACAGGGTTGTCTCTGAGTCCTTACGCAGTGTCTCCTCCTGTGTAAAGCATTTTGGCTCCTGTAGTCAATGACACAATCCCGCCCCCCTCCGGCACTTTATTCCACAGCCTTTTGTTGTTTCCGTGTATTCTAGCTTCTGTGCACAATCCTAGCCCAGTGCTAGTTATCTAGCTTTGCATGGCATCGTGTGTTAGCGTAGACGTGTGTTTGTAAAGAGGGATGTTCTCTTTTTTCCAGCAAAGATGTCACGGAAATTAAGCTTGCCTACTGAGCTAAAGCCAGACTTGGGTAAGCCTTGACTTCGTGTCTCCAAACAATTTATATGTAATGCAGTTTATCTTTCTCACTTCGACTGGACTCCACCACATCCCATTAGTCCAGTACTTATCTGGTTATTAGCCTCAAAATTGGCAAGCTGTGCAGATATTCTCCTAAGTTTGCATGAGACAAAAGTAGCACTGATCTGACCAGAACTCAAATTCTTATTTATTGAGCTAAATCAAAGTGTTGGAAGTTAAACAAAAAAAAAAAAACAGTGTGAAATTTTCTGCTGTGCTCTGACTCCCACTTTTTGACCCCAGTTGGGGGCTCTACTAGAGGTCAGTGGTGCTAAGCTAAACTATGCACACTCCATCTCACCGTAGCGCTTTCTGTAACTTTGCAGCTTTCTCTTTTTCTTCTGTGTTCCTCATGTCTTCCTTTCTCTGTCTGATTGGTACCTTAAAAATTGCCCAAATAGAAAAATAGACATTTTCTTCTTCAGGGGTGTATAACAGTCTTCCAAAGCACCAAGAACACTGGATGGGACGTTGTCAAATTCAAATTTTGCAAGTGCCAAAACACTCGTATGGTTGTTTAAGAATTCCAGTATGACACATATAGACCCAAAGTGCCTGATAGCCACTTATTTTATACTAATACAATTGCTAATTGGGGATATATAATATAATATATGATATGAAGTCACCATCAGTAAGGGTCAGGTGATGCTGCTCTGTCAGAGAGACTAGAACGCAAGCCCATACCTTTGGATTTCTCTCCCAATTTTCTGTATCTACACTGTCAGTATCTTACAGAGCTTAGTCTAAAACAAACAGTCTTGAGTTAGTTGTAAAAAGTCAAAGTGTTTCATTTACTAAGACACTATGAAACCTTTTATGTATCACTTTATTTTGTATGTACCGTTCTTGGCGGGTGCTTTACCTCTCTCTGTTTTCTCCTCACTGTCCTCCTGTCTGTATGCCCGCCGCGGGGTGCCAACCCATTAGACCACCGGGACAATTCCTTCAGCCGCTCGCGCTCCTCCAGCGTCACCAGCATCGACAAGGAAGCACGAGAGGCCATCAGCTCCTTCCACTTTTGCGAGACCTTCGCCCGAAAGGGGGACAGCATTTTGACGCCCTGCCTGTATGTGGGCACCACTCTGGGCACCGTGCTGGCTCTAGCTCTCACATTGCCACCTGCTGGGGAGCAACGGCAACTGCAGCCAGTTATCATTTCACCCACTGGTGGGTAACGGGACATGAGAGGGGAGGGAGGGGTGGACAACAGTTTTGTGATGAAAACCAGATTGATTTGTGCAAACTCTGTGATGTTCACAATATTGTGTGTTATAAATCCAGAGTTTTAAAGGGACAGTTCACCCTAAAAAAAATAAAGATCACCAAAATGATCTAGATTGATAATAGCACTACAGGTAAGAGGAAAGTGTTTTCAATTTTAGTGTGAACTGTCCCTTTAAGACAACAGCACCACAATGAAAAAGACAAAGCCACTAGACTGAGGTCTTTTCCTTTCACCCATCAGGCATGTTGGTGCGGCTGAAGGGCAGCGTCATGCGGATGGCTTTCCTGGACTCATCAGGCGCCATGTTGTCCCCTGCGTACGAGCCGTGGTTCGAACCCAACGTCACAGCAGACGGCGAAGAAAGAGAGAAGGTCCGCAAGCGCCGGCCCGTCTCAGTGTCCCCCTCCACCTCCCAGGACCTCAACGAGAACCAGTACGCCGTGGTGTGTTCAGAGAAACAGGCCAAAGTCATCTCCCTCCCCTCCCACACCTGCATCTACAAACACAGTATCACAGAGACCTCCTTCATCCTACGGGCCGACGTGGTGCAGATGGGCCAAGGCGTGTGTGTGGCGTGTTTCTGCGCCAACGGCCACATCATGACCCTCAGGTGAGAGACATGTCGCAGAAATAGCTGATTATTATTAAAACATATCAATGAGTGTCAGTTTGAATGAATCATGCTCATGTGATTAGATTAAAGTAGATGTGATGTTTTATTGCTTTCACAGAGAACAGTATCACACATGAGTTAGTTTTTAAAATACAACATGCTGGAGGGTCAGTTTTTTGGTCAGTATCGCCATGACAACCACAGAAAATCTGTCTTTTGAGTGTGAAACACTTTAAAAAGAAAGAAAGTGTACTGTCACTGTGTAAGCTAGCCAATAGCAGAACCGTGCCAGATAAGTTCTGACCAATAGAGAAAAAGGAGGCTGGCACAGGTGCCTGCGTATGAGCTCATTAGGGTGCATGAGGAAGGAGATGGAAGTTGGGTATTAGGCCGTATCTTGGCATGAATATGAGTATTTGGGACATTCTGATCAGCACACAGATGGACTGTATAGACGTGGATTAGACTGTGGAGAGTTTGGGAAGACTTTTTTTTGTCACTGAAACTTTTTGCTGGAATCGATTTGAATTAATATGAATCTGAGATGACCGCAGCCTTCACTTTCCATTATGTTAAAATACTTTTTACAGCTGCCAACAGACATGCATGTGCAGTAAATGTCTCAAACTAAAAAGAGAGATTTCAGTATCACTTAAATATGTGATAAAGATGTGATAATCAGGGATGTTCCGATCTGAGTCATATAATATTGAGCATCTACTGATGCCGAGTCCCAATCTGACACTTCTGTTTTCTTAATACAGCTGTAACATGAGCACCTAAAATACAATAAAGTTGTTAAAATCAATTTTCAATGTATATGCTTGACACCTGAGAAGCTCTGTAGTGCATTAGGAAAAAAATCACTGCATCCAAGCTGTTCATCTTGTTTTAAGTTACAAGTCTTTTGTACTGAAGCTTCTGTTTGACAATATTTTACACAATGATCAATATCTTTAAATATGGCCACAGAAAGTATTCATATTAATTAAATCTCTCCTGAAACCTCCAGCCTTCACATGTGCATCAACTTTAGGTGTGCCCCTGGGCAGTATGTTTGGCACCCCTGCTTTAGATTTATACACTGGAAACTGAAGTAAGAAGCAAGACAAAATGTATGTGTATTATATAAACTGCTGATCATTGCATCAATATTATATCTGTATTGTGATATTAGACAAGACTAGTCTTAGATTAGATTAGATTTAGATATCGTAAAAGCTGTCTTTCGTGGTTTTAAAGGCTGAATTACAGTAAAATGATGTAATTTTCTAAACTTACCAGACCATTCTATTATTTGCCTTTGCCCATTTAGTCATTATATCTACACTACTGATTATTATTAATCAGAAATTTCATTGTATGTGTTGAGATCACCAACAGTCAACCCTACAATATCTTTGCAATGTCAATATCAAGGTATTTGGCCAAGAATATTGTGATATTTGATTTTCCCCAAATTGTCCAGCCCTTATTTGTATGTATGTATATTTATTTTAAAAATCTATTAAGTCCATGACACATTTTCATGAACCTTTTTCAAACTATTGTAAATAATTTGTTGGTTAGTTCATGATAAGCAGCTCTGTTTGCAGTTTTTACAGCTCTCTTCTGTAGCATAAAATTTGGATTTGTGACTGGTGTGTATTTCCTCAAACCTCCAAACAGCAGGTGATGTATTCACAATTCCCAATATTCTACAAGTGTAAAACAGTGATTGTTGTTAAAGTTTCAGTGTAATTTAACAATATTATCGGGGCAACAGACTGTCTGAACTTTTAAAAGGCAGAAATAAATACAGTCACCACAGAGGCAGACGGACTCATCATATTATGTCCTCAATTAAAGTTTTCTTTTTGCTCAACTTGTCATTCAAAGTCAGACACACACTTCTGTCCTCATGCACAGCCACAGCAAACACACCCACACACAGCCTTACACCTCTATCCTATCCTATCCTCACCCTGACCTCAACTGTCGTCCCAGATTTAACCAAACAGTTTCTGCAGACATACCAGGTTCATTTTCATGCAGTGTGTGGAGGGGTGTAAGTGAGAAGGGGTGTGTTAATCTGTCGCTCATCCGCATTAATCTTCACTTCCCTAGAGGAGCGAGACAGAACAGCCGTCCATATGGGTGTCTGATAAAGATAGGGTGCCCAGCTGTCTGCCTGTCTGTGTGTGTGGGTCTGTGTGTTTGTTCGAAATGGACAGAGTGCAGGAACATTATCATCAGGGTTTCAGATGATTGAAATATGTGACGTTAGACTTTGAAAAGTTGTGATGACAGTGATGAAACTTGAAATATTTTGTCAGTGATCTGTTAAGGTTCTCACCCAGACTACAATATTAAAGGCGTTTCATTTCTGTGTCCCTCTGTCTAGTGTGCCCGGACTGAGACCGCTCATGGATGTAAACTACCTGCCTTTGACAGACATGCGGATAGCAAGGACGTTCTGCTTCACCAACCTGGGTCAGGCCATGTATCTGTGCTCCCCCACTGAGATCCAGAGGATCACTTACAGCCAGGACACCTGTGAAAACCTACAGGTCAGTTCATATTCCATATGCAGTACACTTTACAACCTGGGCTCTATTTCTCATGTTTTTGTGTATGAGTTGCTGATGGGTACGGCAGTTTTGAAACTGGTCTAGTCATGAGGTAAAGAGCTGCAGCCGGCAGCAGCAAAACAGGATGAAATGTAACCACTTGGATGTTTGCACTGTCAATATTCATCCACTAAAAGTGTTTGTTTTTGCCACTGACAGGCTCAGATTGTTGTTATAAGTGTCTGATAAGATTATGAAAAGGATCCCTACAGAGATAGACCTTTTTGTTCAATCAGAAACAGCCCTGAAATGGCCATCACCAAACCCACCAGACTCCATTTGAATAAAGAGTAATTTTATCATAGTAAACTACACATCTATCAAAGTTGGCAGAAACAAAATCACACTCACAAAAGCCATCTTGGTTCGTCTTTCCACCGTTCCAACAATCACCAACTCTGGTTTGGTTGAAACAAACCTTTAATGCACACAATTAGATATGAAACTATGCTGGCTCTATACACGCTAAAATTACTGTTTATTTAAATGGAGTCTGGTGGGTTTGCAATGGTGATATCAGGGCTGTTTCTGGTTAAACAAAAAGGAATTTACTCCTCAACAAAAAGGTCAGTCTCTGAAGAGAGGGTGATAGATGATAGGTAGACACCTCAGTGGACATTCAAAGGTACATACAGAGACATAACACAATGTACCTTTAAAAGGAAAATTGTTGCCTGTGTGTGTAGTGTACTATGAGTGTGTGTACCGTGCTGGATAACACAACACTGTATAAATAGACAGAGGCAGTTAAAGTGTATGTAGCAGGATGATGTGTGTTTTGATGTTTCAGGAGATGCTGGGTGAACTTTTCACACCAGTGGAAACACCAGAGGCTCCCAACAGAGGGTTCTTCAAAGGCCTCTTTGGGGGAGGAGCACAGTCACTGGACAGAGAGGAGCTATGTATGCCAACCCTACACACACCCAGATAAACAGTGGTTTGCTGATGCAACCTCTCACTCAGATATCTCACCCTGTTTTTACTCCTCCCTTTCGTCTCTTTACTCAGTCGGTGAGGTATCAGCTGGAAAGGCATCCCGAAGTCTGGCCCAGCACATCCCAGGCCCCGGTGGCATCGAGGGCATGAAGGGGGCAGCCTCTGGTGTGGTCGGAGATCTGGCTCGCGCCCGGATAGCACTGGATGAAAGAGGCCAGAAACTGGGCGAGCTGGAGGAGAGGACAGCTGCCATGATGGCCAGCGCGGATTCCTTTTCCAAACACGCCCATGAGGTAACCGAAAAAGTCTGAAACTGAGAGCGATGAACCCCTTAGAAGGTCACAGCAAGGACGCCACAGCTGCTCATGCTTTTACATACAAACAAACTAGTGTACCACACAGAGTGAAAAATAAAGTCTCAGCTGAAATAAATAGTTTACTGAGGAACAAGCCTCAACATACCAATGTTCCCAGGCCATTTGGTTTTGACTCATGTTTTTTGTCCTTTTCTGGAGCAACAGTTTTCACATGAGGCAGGGAAAAGTTGAACGAGGTTTATTGAGAATACAAAAAAGAAATCAAAGCGACAGGCCAAGTCCTGACAACATTACATCTCGTACAGTCCACTACCGACTTGATGTCCTATTTCTATATATTCTTTTTGTATTCCCATTACATCACAGTCAAAAACTTATTACGACCCCCATCCTATTTCTCTTTATCTTTTCTAGCATTATGCATTAGTCAGCAGGAGGCGCTTCAGGTTTACTAGATTATGTATCAAGGTACAAAACACCGTAGCGTGGCAGTCAGTCGTCTTCAGAAACATGACTCACTTCCACTATTTCCCCACTGGAGGGCAGTATATGCCTGTGGAAAGCTCACAGTACTGTGGACAGGGAGTCTGATGTCAAACACACAGGCAGTCTATAGAAATAAGATAAGACATGGATTCTAAAATATATGAATGTGTATAATTTAACCATTTCACCAAAATTAGTACAAAAATGTCATCATTTTATGTTATATAAACTTAAGAGTCAATGAGTAAATGAGGGTCTTTTTAATACTGAAGTAATCTTGGGATTCATGGATCGTGTAACTCACCAGTTGGGAAGTTATTTCTCATATTTTGTACCATGTTCTCAGGTAGATGCTAAAATATATACAGCAAAGGGAGTGTTTTCGCCTACTGCCACCCCACTGTGCTGTGATTGGCTAGTACTACATGCTTGTCGCCATGCAAAGGTCAGATGCAAATTCTCTGTAACAAAAGATAAACTATTACAAGCTGCACTTACGCTATGAAATAGTATACATTTCTGGTCATCTAAGTGGGTGTGGTCATCTCTTGCCCGCATCCCCCAGCCTCGTATTGAAGGGTTGTAAACATACATTTGGTGATACAACACTATATAAAGTACAAATGTCATGTTTGATCCTTACTTTGCTGCTTTTTTATCTACTAGCTTAAAACCTGGTATCACCCAAGTACAAGATCGTATCAGCTGTTGCCAGATCTGCAAGGGTGTGTTGCTGTGACAGAGACAGGTCTTGAACAAGGTTCATTTTCTCCTGATTTGTCTGCCTGAAAAAAGCCAGATAGATAGATAGATAGATAGATAGATAGATAGATAGGTATGTAGGTAGGCTGGCTGGCTGGCTGGCTGGTTGGTAGGTAGGTAGGTTGGTTTTTGTTGGTAGGTAGGTAGGTAGGCTGGCTGGTAGGTAGGTAGGTAGGTAGGTAGGTAGGTAGGTAGGTAGGCTGGCTGGTAGGTAGGTTGGTAGGTTGGTTTTTGTTGGTTGGTAGGTAGGTAGGTAGATAGATAGATAGATAGGTATGTAGGTAGGCTGGCTGGCTGGCTGGCTGGTTNCTGGCTGGCTGGTAGGTAGGTTGGTTTTTGTTGGTAGGTAGGTAGGCTGGCTGGTAGGTAGGTTGGTTTTTGTTGGTTGGTAGGTAGGTAGGTAGGCTGGCTGGCTGGTAGGTAGGTTGGTAGGTTGGTTTTTGTTGGTTGGTAGGTAGTTAGATAGATAGATAGATAGATAGATAGATAGGTATGTAGGTAGGCTGGCTGGTAGGTAGGTTGGTTTTTGTTGGTAGGTAGGTAGGTAGGCTGGCTGGTAGGTAGGTAGGTAGGTAGGTTGGTTTTTGTTGGTTGGTAGGTAGGTAGATAGATAGATAGATAGATAGATAGATAGATAGGTATGTAGGTAGGCTGGCTGGCTGGTAGGTAGGTTGGTTTTTGTTGGTAGGTAGGTAGGTAGATAGATAGATAGATAGATAGATAGATAGATCATCATTAAGACCAGGATACTTTAAAGCATCCAGCTGATGGATCCAGAAAGCTTCCCTCTGATTGAGCCTCTGTATTCTGCACCCCCACCTGACCGAAGGTTTAATGTGTTCAATGCCCCCTATGCACAATAAGGAATCATTAGCATTATGAAGTTTACTGAAGTGTCCAGTACTAGTGGCATATTTATGCTCAGCAGAGCGATCCCTCAGGCGTCTAATTGTGCGGCCAATGTACAAGATGCCTTTCACACATGGACAAGTGTGACGGTAAACAACTGAAGTAGTGTTGCAATTCATAAAATCATTTTGTTTATGAGTTCTGTTTCATGAGTCAAGTTCTGGTCATGATTTGTGCTCATGTTCTTCTCTCACTGGAATAAAGTAAAGCAGGAAGGCCGCTAGTCTCTTAAAAGGGCAGGGCAGTGTTGGATTGATGTGACAAAGATACAGGGAATGACTCTCAAGTGAGTGACATAGGTTTATAATTGGTTTGTGAAGGCGGTTAATGTTAGGGCAAAGAGGTCATGGTCGGAGTTAGTACTAGCCAATCACAGCACATCTGGGCAGGACCAGGGCGAAATGCTTTCGGTTCAGTTCAATTCAATGCCTTTTATTGTCATTGTAAATAAATACAACAAAGTTTAATGAACAGAATAAAATGGAAGTCATTATAAAAGTAAGTACGCACACACACACTGCGCACACACATAGGCACACACAAGTAGTGCCAACATATGCTGTGAACATAAAATAATTGCAAACAATATAAGTAAAATATTAGATATTTCTGACTGTGTGATTTCAGTGCAGCGTTCAGTGTAGTAACAGCTTTGGGGTAAAAACTGTTCAACAGTCTGCTGGTGCGTGTTTTAATTGTCCAGTAACGTCTGCCTGAGGGCAGAAGGTCAAACAGATGGAGGGCAGGGTGAGATGACTACCATATTCTCACTCCGTCGTTTCCTCTGTTTCCAGATGATGCTGAAGTGCAAAGACAAAAAGTGGTACCAGTTCTGATCAGTGACGGGGGAGGAGCAGAGCTCCACGGACACTACTGTCACCTTCCATTGGATCATTTGGACTCACCGTGACCCCCCCACCCACCCACCCATCCGTCTGTCCATCCATCCGTCCCTCCAAGCCTTCTTCACTGGGACACTTGGGAATTCTTCCCTAGCACAATGTTGAATACTGTTCTTACCTCAGTCTTAGGGTGGAACTGAGGGGTAGACAGGGGAGAAGGACCGCCTCAGAGGGAGCAAATAAACGGTGTCTTTTTTTTATGTTTTTGTCTCTTTGTTTTATCTCTGTTCGACTTCTCCTCCGAGGTCGCCGATTGGCCCACGCACCTGGAGATTCTTCATTCTCATTTGCCAAAATGTCCGTCAATGTTGTCTCCACTCTGAGCCCGTCGGGGCCGGTATTCAAACCGACGAACATAGCTGAAAAAAAGACAAATACCTAATGAAGAAACAGACTATTAAAAAAATTCTTAAAATGTAAAAAGAAGGAAAAAGAATCTAAATACATCATTATATATACATAAATCTAATAAATGTGCAACGCTGTATCCACTTCCGAGTGACAAGTACAAAAGAAAGGGATAACTCATCGAGGAGAAGGCTGAAGAAGGCGGCGTTGGAGAGCCACAGGAAGTGGTGCGACAGTGACGCCTCCTCTATGCAGAGAGTCAACGGGGATTAAAGCAACTTATTCTGATGTACACTGGATATTTCGTCATCTCGCTCAACCTCTAGACTCTCCTCTGTATCTTACAGACTTTCATATCGTTACCAACAACGTGTGTGCGTGTGTTAATTTCTATTTTCTTGCCATTCCTCTCTTTGTTATTCGTTGGGTTTTTTGCTCTGTCTGTATTATTGGAAAATCTCTTATTTTTCTATTGTTGTGAAAGTGGATGATATTTGATTTGTTGAAAAAATACGTTTTGTGGCTTTTATCTAACAACTCAAATTAATTTCTCCTTATGAAAAGGGCTGGAATCTAAAAAAAAAGGAGGGCAAGGATACAAAAGGCATATATCATTTAGTACTCACTGATGTGGCGACATCAGATTCATCGACGCTGAAATCTCAAAGCGAGTGTGTATGAACCACATGTTTATCATTTACCTGAGGATTTCATCTCTTGACCTATCTGATGTGATGTAAACTGCCTCCCTCACCCTCTAATGTCATACGCTTCCACGGTTTGGCTCAGTCTGTGAGTGTGACTGTACAAATGCTGATGAGATCAGTGTTAAATACACCAATAGTCTAGCCAGATTTGGTTGAGTACACATCAGTATGAAGATCACATACACATGAGTAGAATCCCTATTTGTGTGTATTCATATATATGCAGGATAATAGAAATACGGATGTGTAATCCTTTAAAGGCGTACATTTAAAAACATATTTCAGGTTTCGCTGACAGTTGTCTGTATGAGAACGTCGTCTGTGTGACTTCTTTGTTGATATTTATTTATTGAGGTGCAAGAGACGGTCCTGTTTGGTGTCAGAAACGTTCACCCTCATTATTATCTCGTTTCTATATTCCATATTTGCGGTGAAGCTCAAATGTGGTGTATCTCTCTGTCTACCAGGCTTTTAACCTTTATTTGTATATAAGTAAATAGTTTGACAATCTAAGACCAACTGGAAAGTAAAAATGTCGAGGTTGCTCGAGCAACAGAAGAGGAGAGAGGCCATATTTTTTCTGACGCCAAAGAGTTGCTTTAGCTTTTCCATTGCATTGTCATTTTAGCTCGCCACTCCAGCAGACGGGATGCGGTAGTATGTGTAATAGAGTATAACTTCACTAATGGAGTGCAGACCCTGGATCAGGTCCATTTAGGGAATATTATCACCTTCATCACTGTTCAAGGTTCAAGAAATGGGGCAAGTTGCAATGGAGCTATTTCTAATAGTATTGAAGTGGCGGACCTAGAACATTCAGCACCCCAGGCAGGCTTCCCCTGGTGCCACCCCTCCAAATTAATATTATAATTTATATCTGTGTATTTATTATTGACGAAAACAAGAGCTAATGAGAAATTAACACAAAAAATATCTTAGCTAACAAACAATAATGATAAGTAACAATAATAGAATATGTTAAATTTGCAAATTTGGTCATCGGATGGCTTTTGCCTTTTCATTTTCTCTCAATCTAATGCTATCCACACACACTACACTCAAGTGAATGTTGGGGGAGGGGGGAGCTGCCTATGTCACGTATAGAAAGATCCGCCACTGTGCTATTGTTTCATAATATGTCATAAAGAGTAACATTTGGACTAACGTGCAAAGCGGCCTAATCCAGTGGTTCCCAACTGGTTCAACCACAGGGTCCAGATTTCTCCTCAGTCATTAGTTCAAGGTCCACACAGTTTGACACATTAGCATCATACTTGAATTCGGCCATGTCTTCGAGCTAGTTTTCTCTCTCTTTTAAGTGGCTGTCCGTTAGTCACTCACTCTACAGCATGAAATGGCACTTAAGTGATATAATAATTTGTGGATTTGGGGGGCCAGTGAGACTTCTTGAGCACTTGGCAGTATGGCATGGCACATTATCTTGCAGGAATGGTGCAACCAACATAACCAAGTCCTCAAGGCATCAACCTGGCCTCCGAATTCCCCAGATCCCACTCCGATCAAGTATCTTTGGGACATGCAGGTTCTTAAACTTGCAACCTACAGGAGACAAAGGTTACTTGCGCTTGGCCATGTCGTCAAGCTAGTTTGCTGTCTTGGTCAAGTAGTTGTGCGTTTGTCACTCACTCTATGGCATGAAACTGCACTTCAAAATAAAAGCTCTGTGAAAATAAAGTATGTTTTTTTACAAATCAGACATGTTTGCGAGACACTTGTGGGACACTCGACCCGTGACCCACTTTTGGACCATGACCCACCAGTTGGGAACCACTGGGCTAAGTGATAGTTGATAAGGCTGTTTCCATAAGACAAATTCCTGAACCATTCCTCTACAGCTCAGACACACAACAGTATTTATGGTATTCATCTGTGTGTGGTGTGTGTATGTGAGAGTGTGTGTCAGGGTGTGCTCATGTAAATTAAGTGATATGATTTAAGATTTTTGTTTAATAATTGATGTTGATGTCTCATCAGTCGGCAGTCTGTGTCCAGTTGAGTGTCTGTTACACTAAAGCCACCAGTTACAGTTAAACTAAGATAATAGGATAACGAGCATTAGAGGATGACCTCTGAGTTTCGGGTTTAATTTAAAAGGCGCATGTTTTCTCTTTGCGCACAAGCTTCGACTCTCCTTCACTTCAGTTTTTGCCTTTCTCTCTTCCTCCAGCGAGTCTTCCACTGACTCTCCTGGTTCCACAGCTACAGATATGGCCTTCTCTGTGTTTAGTAAGCATTGTAGTGTGGATGTTGGTAGGTAGCTCTGTCTTTAACCCCCCAAGGTGAAGAAGAGGAAAAAAAAACACTTCAGGAAAAATAGTTTTAGCTAGAGGTCATCCCTGAAAACCTATTCAATGTCTTTCCTTCCAACCCAATCGTTATTTGTGTTTCTGTTTTTTTTTTCTTATTATTTTCAATGTTACATTTTTTTCTCATCTTTGATTGACTTGTTTCTCGTCCATTCACCACAGTATGCAGTATTCTTACCCAATACAATCCACACACTCAAGCAACATGAGGGAGTCCTGTCTATCTGCCATATGCCATCTTCTGTCCTGGATTCAACAGTTATCAGTGGGTTGCAGTATTTTTCTCATTGTAGCCAATTTTCTTGTACAGTTTTATGCAACTTTCACATGGATGTTTATGACTTTATCTGCTGCCACAAAATTTAGAAATTCTGTAGATAGAGATTACTGTGCAATGGAAAATAAAAGTGGAAAATGTATTCGTCTTAAAGCATCTTTTAAAATCTTATACGGAGTTCAGAATATAAAGATTTTGCTGAAGATGAAAGAAAAGGTTATATTTCTGCATTGTGAATATAAGGAACAGAGAGTACTGACATATTTAATGGTACATATACCGATCAGCAACAACAATAAAAATATGACAGGTAAAGTGAATTGCATTGATCATCTCATTGAAATGCAGTGTTCTGCTGGGAAACCTTGGGCCTACTTGAAACCACTTGACATGCTCCACCCACTCAAACACCATTACAGACCAAGAACATCCCCTCATGGCAACACCTTTCCCCCATTGGCAGTGGCCCCCTCACCACAAAAACTGCTCAGGAATTGCCCTAGGCACTGACCCGGCCTTCAAAATCCCCAGATCACAATCTGATCGAGCATCCCTAGGACATGCTGGTACCCCAGAGCTCCTGTGTCCATGCTTCGACAGGTAAATCCAAGTTCTATTCACAGTGGACGTCTGGGATTGCCCTATGGTGTCTGGTACCTGTTGGTGCTTTGAGTCCTATGGGTTGCAAGGTGGAGTACCAACATGTCCAAATGCTCGAGTGGATTGGGATCTTTGGAACTCGGAGGCTAGGTCAGTGCCTTGAGCACTTGGTCACGTTGCTCAGACCATCCCAGAGCAGTTTTTGCAGTGTGGCATTGTACATTGTCCTGCTGGAATTGTCCAAGCAAAATGACAAAGTGCTCAAGGCATCGACCTGGCCTCCGGATTCCCCAGATCCCAATTCGATCAAGCATCCATGGGACATGCCGGTACTTAAACTTGCAACCCACTGGAGACAAAGGATCCACCAACAGGTGCCAGGCACCAAAAGAGAACCTTAGAGGTCTTGTGTCCATGCCTCGACAGGTCAGAGAGCCCACCCTGGATTGGACTTGGCCCTAACCTGTCGTGGCATGGACACAGGTCCATTGGGGGTACCAGCATGTCCCACAGATGTTAGATCAGATTGGGATCTGGGGAAGTTAGAAGCCAGGTCAAGACGTTGAGCACTTGGCTACACTCCTCAGACCATTACTGAGCAGTTTTTGTGGTGTGGTGTAGCACATTGTCCTGCTGGGTGGGCACTGCCATCAGAGAGGGCCATTGCCATGAAGGGAGGCACTTTGTCTGCACCAGTGTTTGCAGACCAACACCGCAGGAATGCCAGGACCACGATTTCCCAGCAGAACACTACATTGTAACAAGATGATCATTGTCATTCACTTCACCTGTCAGAGGTTTTAATGATGTGGCTGATCAGTGTATATGTCCATACTAAGACAAATACTGTGCACAAACATGAGGCTGTGAATGGGAAAATTGATTCAAATGACTGCCTTATTTAAATCTGTGCACTAGATGGCAGCAAACACACATGGTTGTCTTTGCATGTGTTCAGACTGCACAGGGAAAAGCTTAAGAGTGATCAACAAGAAAACAAAGCAATCTTGCTGGCCTATGACTTCCTATTAGGTGATCAAATCAGGTAATATTTGACTAGATTAATTCATAGATTAAGTAGAAATTGGTCATGGGATTCAACTGTAAAGCAAGAAGCTGTTAAAGGTCCTCGGTATAAGGTATAATGCAGTTATTTTATGGTCACTGATAGCAGCTTGCTTTGTTATCTTAAGGTCTGCTGTGTGCTTATACCCTATTGCTCCCCTTCTTAGAGCAACACAATCCTGTATTGATCACACTAAGTGACTTTCGAATGTGCTCTCTGGTTTCTTTGAAGTCACAACGCAGGTGACGAAGTGGTCAGTTAAGCTCTTGAAGGTCACCTCTACTCAGGAGTAAGAGGTTTTTTACTCTCGGCTGGTTTTCCAAGCTTTTCTGTACTTGAATTACAGGCAATGGCGAAGCACCTCCAAGTGACCCTGATCGTGATTTTTGGTAAACGTTGTGTCTTCCACAAGAAACATAGTAATTATCTCACACTGGGAGGCTTTTTCGTATATTTTTCCACTTAACTGCAGTACAGTACACCACTGCTATTAGGAATCAGGGATCCAATTGTGCTAATCTCGGTCAAGCTGCACATTCGGGTCAGTAAGTTCACCCAATACTGTCTTTACAATGACTTATGGTGCGGACCAATTACTGCGGCAACCACAGAGGCTTTTAGTTTGGCTGCTGATTTTCTGTGAAAGATTCACACATAGTAACCATATATTGTCATCTGCTGCTTCCTGACGTCAAGTGTGACCACGCCGGGTGACTCATAGTAGAATTCAATGTGAACTAATTATTAAATACAGGAAACCATAGGCGTAGATTTCAGGGGGGTGGGGGGCACAGGGGACATATTCCCCTCAAAATGTAGAATGTAGAAAGACAGAAGAATGAAGTAAAGATAATATAATAATAATAAGATAATAGAAGTCTTTGGCAGTCTTTGGCTGCCAAAGACTTTGGTCAGTGGGAGATATTTTGTGATCGAGGGACATCTGAATGGCAGCAGGATAAATCTCCCATAGAGCCCAGACACTGGTGGTGGTGGCGGCTGCTGACTCTGAGGCTGATGAAGCATATGAGGCTGATGAATCTGTAAAGACTAGGTGGTGATAGGGAGGTGGAGTATGACGGCAGTGACAAAGAACTATCGTAGAGAGAGAATATATTTATAATGAGGAGCAGTCAGATGATAGGCTGACAGAGAAGGTGTGTCGCTGTGCTCTTGGTTGATTGTGAATCAGCTGATGACTCAATGGACCTACCCAGACAATGACACCTAGAGATAGTGAGCAAAGTGAGCATACATGCACAACCTGGTCTCACTTTGAAGTCGTCGAAATTTGTGACTTGTGGCACCAGACACTGACAAAAAAGGCGTCCTTTAATGTTGCCACGATACGCGACCGGTCGCAGCTATAGTTTGATGGAGCTTGACAGCATCAGGGGGAAGCACAGCGCAACAAAGATGAAAGTTAAGGTGGCAAAATCCCAAGTATGGCTGGTGGATGGGTCCAACAACAACCTTCACTCTGGAGAGCAGTGTTCATGTCCTGCAAGGTTCTAAAGCCACACCCTATTTTTTCCTGAACCTAACCACACGCTTTTCTTGTCTAAACCTAACCATCTGCGTTAGTTAGAGAAAAAAAAAGTCAGTTGGCATTGTTGTACCGAGGTTAAAGAGTCTGTGTGTAAACGGTAAATTTCCTGAGAAAACAGAAGTATTTTTTTTAAAGAAGACAATGCATGTAACAGGCAGAACTTGACACGGTGTCCCAGATCGTCAACAACCAATGCATCCAGGGTACTTTACACATTGTATCTGGACGTATAAGTCCATGACCAAACGTTGATATGTGACGAGGTCGGAGTAAGAATGTGTTGCCAGGAGTGAAACCTACAGCCTGAGCATGAAAAGTCTTCCTGACTGAACTTTCACGACAGCTTCATTTGTCTCCTCCCAATAAAAACATGACATGACAGTAGCAGAGGACTTTTATTTTGACATAATTAAAGACATTTAAACCTTAAACTGATGCAGAAAAAAACACCAGAATGCGGAAAATGAAGTGTTTGATGCTCAAAATCTCCTGGTGGGAGACCCCCAAAATGCCCTTGCAAGAAACCAGACAAAGCATTAGATCAGAAGAGTCAAATACAGACATAGTTTTTTTTTTAAGACTTTGAGCAGTAACTAGAATTCTTTGTCTTTCCAAAGGACTGAATAACTTTAAACCAACTCAACAAACCCTGTTGTAAACACAAGTATTGATTGCCGGCTGGAGGGATAAAGCAGACCATGATTGAGTGTCTTCTCTGTCGCTGTTTCATGATCAATCTAACAAATAGGCAGATATAAAACAGTGCCATAAGTAGATTTTTGACGGAATTAAAGACATTTAAACCACAAATTATGCAGAAAAGGAACAAATTGGGGCATAAAAAATCACCAGAATGTGGCAAATTAAATGTGTGATGCTCAAAATTTCCCCCGAAACTAATTGTCATGAAGTTTTAAACCAACTCAACTATTGATTGCTGACTGGAGGGATAAAGCAGACCATGATTGAGTGTCTTCTGTCGCTGTTTCATGATCAAGCTAACAAATAGGCAGATATAAAGCAGCTACATAAGTTGATAGTCCGCAGAGCCACACTGTGTATTCTAAACAAGTCTGTAAAATTGTCATCTGGTCTGCTGATCTGATTTAAGAAGAAATTGAACAAATCAGAGTTGTGCTTTCCCGTAATGCCGACAAATTAACATGCAGCAGAGTTCTTCCTCCATTTTTTGTACCAGGAGTTGCAATATTTTAAATCCAAAATTCAACAATGAATAATAGATCTAAGGAAAAATGCACACACCCAAAAGTATGCAAGTACTTACATGAAGGGAAGTACAAAGGGAAGTGGTTGTGACTCCCCTCTTCCTACCCTTGTACTCTGTCTCCTCATATATAATGAATCAGGGTTATGGCCTTGTGGCGTGTCATCATCCCTCCTCCGTCTAAACAAAACTGTCAAACAAAATGGTGTTATAATTTTATTATAAGGGATGCATGTGTTTTTCATAAAAGATAAGCTTCTGTGCCGGTGAGAGGTTGAAGGGTAAGTTAAGGGAGGAGATGGAGAGATGGAGACAGAGGGAGGGAGATTGGGTAGATGGGGGAAAAAAAAACATCATCTTGATTTGTTCAATTTGACTGAAGCCACGAAGAGAGGGTCACCGGGGAGACGTGTTTGTTGATGCATACTGTTTGAACTACTGACCTTGTTAGCGCATGTATAAACACACTCTGGTATAGGGTTAGGCGATCCAGAGCTGAGCACACTGCTCAGCGTATGATGACACGTCAGTGTGACTGTTGCCGTGGTGACTGGAAACATGAATGACCTCAGCCGCGTCTTCACAGCAGGATTCAGTGTGACACCTGAGGGGGAGCTGAAGGAGAAGGAGCTGGATGAGCTGTTTAAACTTGATTTAAATCATCACTGTGGTCAGAAATATGAGGTTTTAAAGTTGTTTTTT